CAGCGCCCGCACCGCCGCCGCCCGCCACATCCCCGCGCTGCGCTGCGCTCCGCCCCGCACGCCCGGGGGCGGGCCCGCCGCCCCATCGCCGCTAATTAACCACGGGTTAATTACCGACCAATGCCCATTGGCCGCCGCGGCACCGCCCCCCGAAGGGCGGGGCGAGCGCCGCCGCAGCTGCCGCGGCTGGAAGCGCTTGGGCGCCCGCTCTAGGAGGCGTTTGGCGTCCTTGGAAGAGACTGTCCAAGCGGTTTAGGCACCCCAGAGCCAGATATGTGATGCCCGGAGTCTGAGGGAACGCCATCCATGAGATTTAGGAACTGCTATGGGGTCACATACTAGGGTCTGAGGGATTCCATAGCAACAGGGCATCACGGAGCATAAGGATCAAGCCCAGGGGACTCCAAATCCCCTCTGCCTGGGGATTTGGGGTGCTCAGCACGGCTGACTTGGATCATTGCAGCTAGGTGGTTTATGGGTGCCCACCACTGGGGATAATGAGCCACAGGTCTGTAGTATGTGGGTGTATCCAGCTGAGGTGACCAACAATCCATTGGACAGAGAGGTTTAGGATTTACCAGGTGAAAATTAGAATACCCAGACCCAAGGGATTTGAGCACCCCTGGCTAAATGTGATGGTAAACTATAGGCTCAATGGCTTTAGACACAAAGGGTCATAGAATGATAGAATGGTTTGGGTTCGAAGGCACCTTAAAAATCATCTAGTTCCAAGCTCGTGCCGTGGGCTGGGACACGTTCCACTAGACCAAGTTGGTCAGAGCCCCATTAAAACTCAGCCAGAGTATTTTTAGGGATAGGGCATCCACAACTTCTCTGGGCAGCCTGCTTCTTCTGGATTAGGTATCTCCTTCCTCTACTACAACTGTCTGGGGAATTCTGTGGCCAGAGTGGTTTAGAGCACTCATTCCAGGGGACTAAGGTACCAGGCTCTTGAAAGGTGTTCAGGATCTTCAGTCTAGGTATTCTGGTAGCCTTTGATCCAAGGGTTTTAGGAACAAGAGCCCACAGGGATTAGGTGCATCCAGACCAAGGATTTCAGTATGCTGAAGTACTGAATTTTGAGTCCTTAATGGCTAAAGGACTCAGGGACCATTTGCCCAAGTGATTTAGGAAGAACAGGCTGAAGGATTTGGGAGCCATCAGGAGAGGGTGAAGACCCTGGGGCAATGAGAGTTAGGCACAGCAAGTCCAAGGGCCCTGGACACCCAGAGCCCCTGGGATTTCGGAGCTCCTGGCCCAGGTGGCTGGGGATCCTGATGATCAAGAATTTTATCTGTCTCTAGCCAAGAGGGATTAGGCAGCCCCTGCCTGAGGTTCAGACCTCGCTGAGCAGTGAGGCCAGCCCACAGGCTCCCTGCCAGCCCTGGCTGTCAGGATCACCCAGCCCAGCCCAGGGAGGGGCTCTGGCAGGGGACAGGCAGGCCCTGGAGTTGTGCCAGCTCCCACTGGGCACAAAGCCAGAGCCCTGAGCCCAGCAGGTCTGCCTCACCCTGCCCTGGCTGCCCACCACATCCCACCTGCAGAGCTGTCCACTGCCGCAGGGTGTTCCTGCCTGGGGAGCAAAGCTGCTTATGGCTGTGTTTGTCCTTTCTCCCCACTTCCCACATCATGGACACCTTCAACTCCTTGAAAGCCAATGTGGACACTCTGGCCCCGCTTCACCTCCTCTGTCCCATCCTTGCCCCAGAAGTCCCTGCCACACCTAGCTGTGCTGAGGCAGCTCCACAGCAGGCGGGCAGCCCCGCTTATCTCCAGCACCAGCTCGACCTCACACCCAGCAGCCCAACATTCCTCACCTCATCCCCGTGGTGGGGATCTGCAGCACTGGATGAGGGACAGGGACGCCTTTTCCTCCTCCAGGGAAGGACAGGGCTTTTGCAGCCATTTGTTCTGGCTTCCCCACCAATGTGTTTGCCCGGCCCCAACAAACACATAACCCCCCAGGAGATGGGGAAGGACCAGGAATTGAAATCCTGCACAACCCCAATAGACACACAGAGTCACCATCACTCCCAAAACACAACCAGCAGTCCAGCGTTAACCAAACCAACAGACACACACACACAAGAAATTTCTGAGACTTCAGAATAAAAACCCAGACCAGTAACACTTTTAAATTGTTGTTTTTTTTTCATTCATCAACTGCCTTGTTTCAGCTATTTCAATTCACGAATAGAGCAATTCTTTATAAAATGCAGTAGAAAGGAGTAAAAACAAAGGCAACAGCTATTTACAGAACCAATGGGTAGAGTACCGAAACGCCTCTAGACTTCTCACTTCTTCTTGGGCGACTTCCGGGCACCGGACTTGGCTCTGGATTTCGACCTCCTTGCCTTCTTGGGTTTGGATGCCTTCAGGGACTTGGCCTTAACAGTCTTTGGCTTCTTGGCTTTCTTCGGGCTCCTTGACTTCTTCCTGGCCTTCCTGGCGGCAGATTTGGGCTTCTTGGCCGGGGACCTGGCTTTCCTGGACTTAGCCGTCTTCCGGGGCGAAGTGGATCTCCTGGCCGCCTTCTTCCTCTTCCTGGAAGGAGACCTCTTCGCCTTGCTGGCCTTGGCTAGGCGGAACGAGCCGGAGGCACCGACTCCTTTGGTCTGCTTGAGGACTCCAGTGGCCAGCAGGCGCCGGATGGCCAGCCTGATCTGGACGTCGGCATTCTGGCCCACCTTGTAGTTGCTCTTCACGTACTTCTGGATGGACTGCCGGGACGCGCCGCCGCGGCTCCTGTCGGCCCGGATGGCTGCCGTGATCATGTCCGAGTACGCAGGGTGGGCTGCCGGCCGCCGCGCTGAGCGGGCCCGCTTGGGCTTGGTGGCCGAAGCCGGTGGCAGTGGGATGGGGCTGTCGCTCATGGCGAGTGCTTCGTCCCGCGATGCCCGGCTATGCCCTCACGGCTGGAAGCGTGGCCCGCCCGGCCTGGGACCCCCGCCCCTGGGCGGGGAGAGGCTGGCAAGGGAGCGGTGGGTGGGTGAAGCCGCAGCAGAGCCGGTGCCGCTCTGCCGCCGGTGCCCCCGCTGGTGCCTCTGCGGCCGCGCCCGCCGCCGGCTCCCTTTAAAGCCGCGGAGCGGACCGCGGGGAGGACTGCCCCGCGCGCGCCACCCGCCGCCCGTGTCCCCGCGTGTCCCCTGCCACGCCCTGACCCGAGCCACCGCGAGCGACAGGGAGGGACAGTGCGGGGGGCGCCGTGGGGTAAATAAGAGTTATTTGGGGGAATACACGGTGGGGACAAGGAGGGACGCCGGTGGGATCAGCGGGGGACAGTAAGGGACATTTAGTGGGGCAACTTAGGTACAAGGTGCATTTGGAAGGATATTGTGCAGGGACAAAGAAGGACACTGGGGGGACATTGGGGACACTGGTAAGACAGGGACAGGCATGTCAGGGATGTTCAGAGCAACATCAAGAGATGCAGAGGGACACTTAGGGCAGACACTGAGTTAGGGAGGGATATTTGGGGGCAACACAAGGAGATGTGCTGGAAAAATATCAGGGGACAAGGCAAGACACAGTGGAACATATTAAGGGGGCAAGAAGGGACACTAGAGAAGACACTGGGCATGGCACTAAGGAGAAAACAGGGAGCACTGGGCACAAGTCAGCCCAGCAGCAATACCCCATGGCCAAGTGCCGCTACTCCCCTTCTGCCCCTTTGCTCTCCACCAGGTGCTTTAGGAACACCATCTCAGGCCCTGCAGATGGATGGTGAGGGGTCACAAATAACAGGCTGTGCCCTTGTTTTCGGAGGCACACACAACCCTGAGTGCAGGGACAGAGTAGGGACATGGTGGCAATCAGCCATCCTTTCCCCGCTGGGCGAGCGGTCGGCTGTTCCTGGGAGATTAAATATAGCCACTATCATCATCTTGCCTGGAGGATTCAGATGATGTTTTCCCCTTATTTTTTAAAAACATGCGGGTGCAGCCACCTGTGCCCACCAACATGCCATGTGGGGCTCAGAGGTGAACCAAACCTCCCAGTTCAATTTGGCATTAAAATACACACTGAGCACCTCTCAATAGCCTCTGAGTGCCCTGGGTGTCCAGGGCCATGAAAACCACCAGCTAGGGACACACAGACGTATGCATCAATAAAACATCAATATAGATACATAAATACAAATATAAATACAGAAATTGAAATAATAGAAATAATACAAATTGAGATAATAGAAACAGAATAGTAGAATCATAGGGTTGTTTGGGTTGGAAGAGACCTTAATGATCATCCAGTTCCAATTTCTCTGCCATGGGCAAGGACCCCTTCCATGAGACCAACTTGCTCAGAGCCCCATGAAGCCTGGCCTTAAACACTTTCAGGCATCCACAGCTCCTCTGGGCAACCTGTTCCAGTGCCTCATCACACTCACAGTAAACAATTTCTTCCTAATATCTAATGTAAACTTGCCCTCTTTCAGTTCAGAGCCATTCCCCCTTGTCCCATCACTACATTTAAATAGAAACAGGAATCTTTGATGTGAAGACCTGGCCTGGCAGAAGACACTCAGACCCCTGATGCTTTCCCACAGATGGAAGGACCAAGTGCTTCTCCTTGAGCCTTCCTCCCTGATGGAGTTTATTCCATTTCTGGAGTGGGAAAAGTTCTCAGCACCTGCAAACCTTTTGATTTAATTAGGAGCAAACCGCTCCTAATTGTGGAGAGGAATGCCCACCCTCCTGCCTCCATTAGGGTTTGCTTTTATTTAAGACCCAATAAATAAATGTCTTTCCATCCCATGTGGAGCCCACGGAGCTCTGGTGGCCTCTGCGCAGCACTTTGACCGGCCGAGGGACCTCTCATTTTTCCTATCTGGGGATGAGGGCCGGCGCTGGCTGCCTGCACGTAGGCAGCCCAGGCCCGCAGATAAGGCACCATCTGTTTTTATTCCCTTCCAAGTTCGTAACCGCCGCGCGTGGCTCGCCCCGGCCAGGCTCCGAGGGGAGACGAGGAGCTGTAGGAGCTGGCCCTGGGGTTGGCACAGCACCACGGGCTGCCCGAGGAGCTGCAGTCCCAAAAGCCAGGCAGCGATTATCAATCCAGTGCAGGGATGGGAGGCGAGGCGGTGCGGGCAAAGGCGGCAGATGCTTTACCTAACTTTGGCACCTTAGGGCTCTAATCTCACTCGCTCACCTGGGCAGCTCCGGCTGCTGATCCGGGCTGCTCGTCCTCCTCCGGCGGGTGCCGCTGCTGGCAAACAAACATGCTGACCCCTGTGCATGGAGGTTCTGGCCCTTTCACAAAGACTAGATCCCTACTTTTAGTCAGTCAAACTCAGGGGAAGAGCCCGTGCCCCCAGGCAGCTCACTGGAGGGAAGGCACACAGGTTGTCACAGCTCCTCAGGCTGCTGCTGGCTTTGCACATGGGGGCAACCTGGCCAAGGCGACCCCCAAGAACCCCAGCTGACACTGGAATGCACCCCTTGAACTCTGCACTGTTTTGACAATGCATCTTTAACATGAACTGCTCAGGACTGAGAGGATGAGAGCGTTTTCCAGCCCCTGGCAGGATGTCAGGCCTGGAGGTGGAAGGCAGATGCTGCCAAGACATGCAAGCCCTGATGCCTCTGGGAAGTGGATCCAGCACTTTTGGCACCCCGCTGCAGGCAGCAGGGTACTCATCCAGAAGGAAGAGTATTCCCATAGGCACACGTGCCACCATGACCATCTTGGGTTCATGCCTGTATTTTTGGCCACAGTAGCCTGCCACCATGTCCAGGCTGGAGTGGGTTACCCCCTGCACCCACTTTTCTCCTCAGGAATTTCTACCCAACCACCCCAAGCCTCCCAAGCCTTCCCTTTCTGGCATTATTCTGCAGAGATTGGGAAATCCCACATCTCCAACAAACCCCAGAGGACAGAGCCTGGCAGAAGAATCCTCTCTGTAATCCTGTTTACCTTCTCCTCCCTGCCTGCACTGAGTTCAACCAGACCCCGTGGGGATTTACACATTTCCAGCTGCAGATTTCGTCTTAAATGGTCAAACCGTGTCCACTGTGGATGTGCTACGGATCCATGGGGTAATAGCCCCTGCCTTGTAGGGGCAGAACAGCTGTTCACAGGCCTTTGTGAGCACCAGGGCACTTCTGGCAATTAATGTCAGAGATAACATTTCATTTTACCCAGTTTCCATTTCAGAGAGACTCAAAATCCTCAGCAGTGGGACTTGGTCTCGGTGGTACGCAGATCCAAGTGCTTCTGTGCTTTTTTTAAGAGCAAAACAGGGAAACTAGCTGCAGTTCCAGCTGTGCTCATGAGAGGTCCATATCTGAGTCCCCGGTGTGCAATGCAGTGTGGTCAGCTCAGCATGAAGCCACTGAGCCTGGCCATTGCTAGGGGCAGAGCAGGCATGAAGGATACAAATAAATGGCAAAGAGGCATCACCCTGACTGCTGGACTGATCACCACTGTTTTGAAAGATTTATGGGCTGCTTTTTAAGGCCAAGCTCCTTATGTGAGCTGGGGTGCTGGCACCCACACAACCACGGTGCTGTACAGCTGCAGGTTTTCTCCGTGCCTGAGGCCTGGGATGTTTCTCACAGGCAAGCGGATGGGGCACAACCATTGCTTTGGGATGTTTTTTGGGCTCTGCCAGCCATCACGCCTGTCACCCACGGGCATTTTGGCCATCTCCTCTTGTGGCCACTGTTCCCGTGCCCAGGGCCCCTGTTCCCAGGAGATAAGGACGTGGGGATGATGGGGTGACCATATCACGCCGAGGCAGGCGAGACAGGCTCTGCCTGATTAACGCCGAGCCAATTCCCCCATCGCCCCGGGATGAGGGGATGGCTCTGCCCTGCCAGGGGCTGATCTGCAGCCACAGAGCCTCAAGGAGGGGCAGCTCCACCACATGTCAGGGGCACACACATTTCGCCTGTGCTTACGCCACGCACTTATCGGGCTGAGCAGCCCTCGTCTGAAAGGCAGAAAAAAAACAACACACCACCCCAACAAACCAACCCAAACACAAGATACCAAACTCTTCGGGGAAGGGAAGGGTGAGCAGCGCGCTGAGCACTGTGCAATTGCTTACCCTCTGCTTGCCCCCAGTGCCCCACTTTTGGGAGTTTCTTCCCCCAGGAGTAGGTACAACTACACAGACTGTTGTTCGACTGGTTATTTTTTCTAAAAAACACACTGTGTCCTGAACCCTTTTTTCTCCTCCTCTTTTGGCTCCTATAAATCCCCATGGCAAGACCAAGCTGTGCAGCCTGGAAACAGCTGCCCTGAGCTGTTCTTTCACCTCTTGCCATCCCATGGGCAAATCCCCCAAATGCTCGCCCCTTTCCAAACTCGATGGCAACAGCCATACCCTGCTGGGAGACAGAGGGAAAAGCCTGGACCTTGGGTAGCACAGGGACACAAGGGTTTCTAGGCAGAGGCAGGAGGCCAAAACCCATCAGGAGTAAGCCCCGGTGCTTGACAGGCGTACTAGGGAGCTGAGCTCATTGCTTGGACTCTTGCACCATCCACTGGGTTGCCCAAGGGCCTTGTGCACATGACTAAAATCTGCATCCCAGTTTTACCAGAATTTGTGACTAACAAAGTAATCTGCTTTTCCTAGGGAAAGTAGTTCCTGCAGCCTTTCCCAAGTGAAGGGCAGGTCTTCACCCTCTTGCCCTAGGGGATGCCAATACTATTGCAAAAGAATGCTACCCTAATAGCCCTCATTTCAGCTGCCACTGCATTCTTACACCCTGCTTCATTCCCTAGGTCTCACAGTACTCCAGTCTCTCAGCCAACACATCTGTCACCTCCATCCAAGAATCCTCCTTGACCCCTTTGTCTTTCCTTCTTCAGATGCTGCCTCCAGCCCCAGCAAGTGACCACAATAAGATCTCTTCCCTGTAGAACAACAGCTCCTGTTTATTTCAGGATGGGGCTGAATGAGTAGTAGTCACCACCAGGTCCTCTGTCCTGACAAAAAAGCAACATGCTTAACAGAAAAAACAGGAGGAGGAAAGCATTTATAATCTCTGTCATCTCCCCAGGATCTCTCTATGCTTTTTACTCTGCCAGCAATTTGCAGTGCCATGTACCCTTCCAATACTGGATTTACTAATGCAGCCCAGGCTCAGCTCTTCCATGAGGCTCAGGGTCACACGGAATTTTGGGAGCAGTACAGTGAAGCAGACTATATTCTCCCTCAAGCCCAAAGGTGGGGCAAACTGCTGGATAACAGCACTGCAAGGCTCCTCTCACCCTCTGGCTAGGGGTGCTCCTGTTGCTTTCCCTCAGCAAATCCTGAAGAAAGGAAGCAACTGGTCAGTATACACTAAAACCTCAAAAAAATTACACATACACACACACACAGCCCTCAGCACTGGATTAGGGCCACATGGCAAACCTTCTTCTCAAGGAACACATTTTTCTCAGCGAAAGGGGAAGATTTTATTAAGTTAAAAGTTGAAGGGCACAGCGGAGCAGCAGCAGCTGTCACCTTGGGGAGGTTGGCTCGGGCGGGTGCGGTAGCAGCCTCACAGCTCCTCTTCCCCAGAAAGGAGAAGCCCCGCGGCTCTGGGCTCCTGCCAGTGCAGGTTCTTGCAGGAGCCAAAAGGGCAGCCACGGAGAGAGAGCTCGGTCATGTGGACTCGTGCCAAGGTGTCCTCTTTCAACCGTCTCAGGCAGGCACATCCACGGCAGACAGCCCCAGCGCTCCTCCTATGGCTCGCGCGTCTTCTCCGCAGGTCCCTGGGGTGGCACAGGGAGGGGGCATGGTCCTTGCCGTACATCCCAGGGGGACCGTGGAGACATTTGGAAGAGAGGGAATATGTGCCAAAGGTGTGTGGCCAGGAGAAATGGGGCTAGGAAAGGGGGAAAAACCAGGTTCTCTTTTTCAGGTTAGAAAAATGCTGGTGATGTAGTAAAATTTTCCTCCTCCTCTTCCCCTCCTTTCCATGGGGAAAAAAAAAATCCTCTATAAAATATAATTTTCACATATAAAATCCTGAGGAAGGTGCATGTAAGGAGCCAGTCCAAACAATGTGCTCAGGTATGCAGGCAAAAAGGGTTCATCAAAAAAGCTTTGGGAGGGGAGTGAAGAGGTTGGGGGTGTGTGAGACTCCTCGCCAAGGTGGCAACGGATAGGGATTCAACCTCCCTCTCCCCATGAGTGAGGAATGGAGCAAATACAAAACAAGAACAGATAACAAATGTAGAGCAGACCTAGAGAGAGACAAAACCAGACAAGGTTTAGAACGATTCCAGGGAACACAGAAATGCCATCCCTTCAGCTCCCCAGGCAGGAGGCTGTCTGGTGCCCTGCTACACTCCCACTCATCTCAGCACCAACAGCAAGCTCTGGTGGACCAGGGCGAGCCCAACACAACCAAGAAGCAGAAGCACTCTGGACAACAGGACGCCCTCATTCCTGTCACCCTGCTCCCCCCATCTGCAGCAGAGATGCCTGCAGGTGAGCGTGGGAGAAGGGCTGGGTCTAGTTGGGCCTGCTTTGATGCAGACCTGAAATTATCGTGCTGCGATAGGGAAACCACTTCAAAGGTGAAGGGAGCAGGAACACTGCCTACACAGGACTACCCACACTGTCACCCAAGCCACGGGGCGAAGGCCAGTATTTGCCTGGCTCCCACAAGCAGCCTGGTGGAGGAGTGATGGGTGCTGGCTGCAACAAGAGCACCATGAAAAGGGAGCTGGAGCCCTTGGGAGGACATCAGGGCCAGCAGTGCAGGCTAAGAGGATGCGAGAAGCAGAGAAGGATGAGTTTAAGCCTGAAGTTTCAAAACGGATTGGAGCAGGAGAAACTGGCAGCTTCCAGGGCCCTGCAGCAGCCAGTCTGAGCCACCTGCACCCGCAGGGGACGTGCCAGCATGCCCAGGCTCACCGTTACTTGCTGTTGCACAGCGACTCCTTCTCCTGCAGAGCTGCCATGGCCAGGCGCAGGTGCTCCTTCAGCTGCTCGATCTCGCGCTCCGAGCGCACCTTGATGTGATTCAGCTCTGCATAGACGTCTTGGTATTTCCCTGAGGCAAATCTCTTGTCCTGCCAGGGGAGGGAGAGGGGTCAGGCAGGTTGCAGGGCTGATTTTAGGGAGGGTGGCAGCAAGGTGAGCCCAGAAGAGCCAGCAGGTGAGGAAGGGAGACCTAGCCTTGGGTTTGAAGCCCATCCCAATCTGGGCTAGGCAGAAACCATTCAGAAGAGGAGCATGGAGGTATCACTTTGCACACACCAGGCCAGGGAAGAAGGCAGAGACACTGGTCCCACAGCAGCAGGGATGTGCAGCACCAGGCTGAGGAGGTAATGTGGGCTTTAACACAGCTTGTGTGCCTGTGGGGCAGCCATATGGGAAACATAACCCCACCAGGAATGCAGGCCACTGAGAGAGCTGGGTGCAGCTGGTTATATGGCCAAAAACTTTGTGAGTAAACTATGAACTCCTGGAGCATCACTGAATTCCAAAGTCTCTTTCAGGTTCCCCTTTGGCAGGGGCCTTTGAAAATTCCTCTGAAGGAGCTGCTGCCAGTGGAGGGAGCAGCACACCCAGAAACAGTGCCCAAGGAAACCCATCCACTCAGAGAGGGGACAACTAGAGGAAGCAGAAGGCCAGGCAGCCTTCATCCAGGTTTCCCACTTGCAGAAGGTGGTCTCCTGTCTTGTCCATGCTTATGTGTGCATGCATCTGGGGAAATCAGCAGCTCTGTGACTCCTCCCTTGTACAAGGTCAGCCTGTGCCAGTCTGTGCTGCTGGAGCTGCTATGTGCTCTGCAGTCAGCAAGGACAGCACAGGCGACAAGAGGGTTTGTCTCGAGCATCCCATCAAACCCAGCCAGACCCTGCTGATAAGCAGCCCTGCTGCTTCCCTGCCTTCCCTCTCCTGCTCTTTCCCAATTGCTCCCAGAAAACACTGACCTTTTGCATCATCTGCAGCTCCTCCCGGAGGCACTGCACCTCCTTCTTTACGTACTGGAGCTCATTCTCCTTCACCCGCAGCAGCACCTGGGCCAGAGAAGGGGGAGAGGAACCAGAGGTGACTCAAGAGCCACCGCCTCGGAAAGGCCGGCAGGGCCTGGCGCAAGCACAGCGGCGGAAAAGGAAGGAAGGGCCAGAAGGGCTGGGGCAGGAAACGGCGCAAGCAGCTTGAGAGAGCAGCGAGGGGAGCCTTGCGCTCTGCTTCCTGCACCGCTCCATCCGTCACCCCCTCCCTTGCTCCAAGGCAAAGCCATCAAGAGGAGACTCCCAGGACAGGCGGGGATGGAGGGGCGGGGCAGCCGGGGGACCCCGGTACCTCCAGCTCGCAGGAACTCCGCTCGTTGTTGTGCGAAGCGCGGTCCCCAGAGCCCCGCGAGGAAATAAAGCTTCGCAGCTTCCCGATCTCGTCCGAGAGGCGGGTCTGCAGCTCCTGCAGGCAAAGCCAAAAGATGTCAGAGTAGCCATGGCACAGAGCTCTCGCTGTCCTGACCATTCCATCTCCTTGGCAGCCCTTGTTCAGCTTAGAGACCATGTTGTAATCCCCCATACACAGGTAATGGCAGCATCTACATCCAGCAGAACACACTTGTCATATTTAACGCCACAGTCAAGATGGCCTCTAACTCTTAATCATTTTATTTCTGATTATAAAATCTCAGAAGGGATGAAATATGAACAAACAGGGGAGTTTTAACAGAGGGGCTGTGCTGTGTGAAGGAGGAACATGCTCCAATGCTCCTCTCTGCTGGCAGGAAAGCCATTCTCTTGCCTGATTTTTCTGGAGGAGGTCCTTCCCCTCCTGCTGACAGCGCTCCAATATCTGCTCCCGCTCTTCTGCCTTCTGGGTGAGCTCCCCAATTTCCAGGCACTTTTGGGAATACTGCTCAGACAGCACCTGCAGTTCCCGCTTCAGCGACTCCACGTCCAACCTGCCAAAGAGGCACCAGCTCATCGCTGCCCCAAAACCCTTGCCAGCTCCTGTCCCCCGGCACTGCCTTCCCCCTGCCATGGCCAGTCTCTGCCCACATCAGTCATTAGCACAAGACAATGTTCCCTGTGAACCCCTGCTTCAGTTCCTGCACTCCTGCACACGAGCATGGTGCTCCTTGGAGCTCCAAGCCATGCAGAAGAAACGGAGGAGCTTTCCATAAAGAAAATAGAGGGGAAATAACTATAGGTATGAGGGAGGTGCTATAGGGCAAAAAGCCAAGCAGGGGACAAACTTTGCATCCCTACAGTTGCAGCAGCCCCGGGAGCCACTGCTGGGCACCCAGCCCTGAGGAGGAACCGGGGGAAGTGGCAGGAGGAAAAGCCCAGGACTAGAGCTGCAGATGGAGTGTGGTGACAGTGGCACAAGGCAGCATCACTGGGCAAGGGGAGTGACAGAGATGCTTTCTTACTGGTGCTGCTTCTGGAGGGCTTCTGGGAGCGAGCTGCATTGCTGGAAGCTCCGTGTCCTGCCCAGCTCCTTATTCATTTCCTCTCGGTGGGCTTTCTTCAGTGCCTCAATGGCTGCAGAGGGGGACAGTGAGAAATGGGGGATCAGGCTGTGCCAGCTTCATGGAAAACACACCGGAGAACTGGCTAAGCTCTCACCACTGCAGGTTCCCAGATCCCTCTCTGCAGATTCCCCCTCTTCCCTTTCTTCCCTCAGGGTATTCCCCACCATCTCCACACTCCAGGATAACCATGCTGCCAAGGGGACTAACACGGCACTGTGGGAGCTCTCTACCATTTGTGCCTTGCCCACCTACAAGAAAGTGCTGGTCCTCTCCCGCCCATCCAGAGGCGTGACCCCATTTCCTTCAGTATCTTTACCACCCCCCCTCCACCAGTGCCACAGGAGCGAGAAGCACCGAAGCTCATGCTCCAAGGAGCCTCACACCAGTGCAGTCAGCAGTGTGGCTCCAGATGACTGGGACGTCTGGCTTCTGGCAAGAGACATGTGGGGAGAGGCAGGAGGGAGCCAGCAGAGCAGGGGCACGGCGTGGTGTTTGCTCCTACCTGCTGCCGTTGCCGCCGCCTCCTCTGCCAGGAGCCGCTCCTTCTCCTGCCGCAGCCGCTCCAGCTCCCGCTGGTGGTGCCTCTGCAGCTCCTCCATCACTTGCTGGTGGGATGACTCCATCTCAGCCAGGCTGCGCTCACAGGCCTCCTGTTGTGAGGAGGAAAGGAGGTGTGAGAGACCAGAAGAGAAGGAGGAAGGGCTTGGGGCAAGACAGACACCTGGCTCCAAGTCCAGGGACATTGTGAAAGAAGTGAGACTACTTCCCAGGAGGGTCTTTTCCTTCTGAAAGTGAGGTGGCACTTTAATCACTGAACACAACCATTTTACAGGGATACACATCTTGCAACTCCCCCTTGTGCTTTACAGAGAAAGAATGTTCCTGTAGCTCTTGAAACTAAAGCAAGACAGGAACATCCCTCTTGATCTAAGAGCTGGGAATAACATGCCCAACACCACAGTCCCAACCCTACACCAGGCTGCACTGCCTGGCTGGAAGAGATCAACAGTGGGAACTGCATCTCAGTATCTGCCTTTTAAATGAAGCAGCACCCCCTGGAATCAATGAAAACTGAGCCTCCTCTCCTGAAAAGTGACACCCTGCACTACCCTGAGACATGATGGAGGCTGCCAAAGAGCCCTCCCCACAGCCTAGTGGTTAGGGATCCTCCTCACACAGCTCTCCCTCCTTTCTGATGGTTCTGAGACCAAGGGGATGGTTCTTTCTATGCTGAGTGCTATGATTAACTTGAGCTAGAGCAAAGCAAAGAGGTTCCCACCTTGGCACTATGCCTTCACTCCTCCTCCACATGCTGGCAGTGCCTCCCTGAGCCTCTCAGGAAGGATTTGTTCACCAACAAACCACACCATTGTGATTAATAGCCTAGACCTCAAGGACATCAGCAGAGAGCTAAGACATCATCACATCCCCCAACAGCTCCTTGCCATCCCATTCCTTCCCAGTGAGGACTAAGGCTCATACAAAAGACACTGGAATATGTTGTGTGAATGCAAACCCTTCCTGGCTACTCCTCTCTGCTGTGATGAGGGGAGCTAGGAAGCTTCACAGAACAACAGAGGAAAAGGTGAGGAATCAATTTGGTGACCTATCCAGGGACCAGCTGCAACCCTTGGCAGACAGAGAGAGTGAATCCTTTGGGGAAAGGCCAAGTTTGGCCTCAGATGTGAAATGCTGGCTTTTTGAGCCAAGTTATTAGGAAGATAAGGAAGTTCCTCCCCACTGCTTTTGATATTTTTTTACCATAAAGAGGCCTGTAAGCTGTAAATATTAAATCACGATAACACAGAGACTGGTAAGTGTCTGGGCTGGGTGCTACAAGGCTTGTGGGTTTCTTTATCTGTGCTAGGTACAGCCAGCCCTGTGGAACAGACTTCACCAGCCCCAATTTCCTGCCCTGCCATCCCCCTCTGCCCCGGTATCTTCCAGCACATAAGGCCCATCCTGAAAATCCCACTCTATGGTCAAACAGCAGCCTCCACACAGGAAATCCCTGCGGGATGTGACCCTGCTTGCTTTGGATCAGTCCATGAGAGGGGAAAATAAATAAACAAAGAGAAGTGAGAGGATGAAGCATGAGCAAATTCTGCTTTGCTGGCTCTCCCACATGCTGGCCCAGCAAACGAATGGGCTGTGCTGTCAAAGTGACCTTCAGGGCTGGGGCTGTCCCCAGGGACTGGCTGACTGACTGACTGTTTCTAACAAGACACGTGGGAGCCCCAGTTAGCAAGAACCACATGTGGTGAGCACCAAACCACCAGGGAGTGACCAGAGGCTCAGCAGGAAGCTGCTGACCCCTCCTGAGCTGGGGGATGGCTCACCCCAAGCCCAGGACAGCATTGTGCCCACACGCAAAGCGGGACACAGATCCTGCACCTCTCCCCAAATTATCCTTCTCTCCCTTTATAACCCTGGCCCCTTTAAGGCCAGGCAACATGCACCAGCCTTTATGTAATTAACATTGATTACAAATGGGCCCAGTTAGGGTCACCATGGCAACCCAATGATTAGCGATACCTGCTCGGCAATAAGCTGTGTGCCAGAATTTCCCAGTTTGGTACTGGGAGTGACCCCCCAGCCCGGGGCCCGGCACTCTACTCACCTGTGAGATGTACCCTCGGGGCACATGGCTGTCCCCCTGGGATTTTGCTGCCTCCCGAAGGCTCTCATTTCTGGCCCGGCAGGATTCCAGCTGTGCCCGCAGTGACTGGATCTGTGCCAGGGAGGACAGAGAAAGATCTTCAGCCAAGGGTGGAAAAGTGCCATGGCCTGACCAATGTGCCACATCCAAACGCTGGGCTTAGGGATGGGGAGGACAACACATGGCCAGTGGAGGCCTCTGCTTCCCCCGCAGCCTGCCAAGAGACCACACTGCCAAAGCCAGCCCCAGCCTGGTCAGTGCCAGCAAGGAAGGGAGGAGACATCCCAGCTTTCAGAGGGGATGCTGGATGAAACCATGCTGGTGGATTCATGCTGGAGGAAGCCACCACAGCATGGCTCCTTTCAAAGGCTGGCAGGTGAAGAGCTTGCAGGCTTGGGAATAGCCAGAGAAGAAAGGCTATGAATGCACTCCCAGGAAACATAGATTCCACACAAGTAGTGCCAGCAAATGAATTATCCTGGACCAAAACACGCTCGGGGGAACCTCTGCAGGTGTGTGAGAGCTGGCCTCTAGGCTTGCATTACCAGGTTCCAAAAGCTTCCATGCACCTGAGGAGCCAGAAAGAACGAACATCTCCCTGCACCTCTGCTCTTCTGCAGAGCCTCCTGTAGCCAAGCACCAGGTTAAGGGGCCACCAGAATCCCAGAGACTCAGAGAGGAGCAATGCTCTTACCTCCTTTTTCAGCGCCTCGTTGGTGTCTCCCTGGCCCCCCTTGCTCTGGTTCAGCAGTGTTGTCAAGGGCACCCGCCGCAAGTCCTTCAAGGGCAGGTGCTCCAGCTCCAGCCACTTCTTCTCTATCTCCTCATTCAGACGGATCCGTTGGTCCTCCGAAAGCGGCGGAGTGGGGAGGTCCTGCTCCCCGGCCTTGTGGGCAGGGTCCCCTGCTGGGCCATCGCTGTTGGGGACCCTGCCATCGGGGGTCTCGAACCACTTCCGCCTCTCCTCTGAACGCATGGCCAGATCCCGCTCCAGCTCCTCATGCCTGGCAGTTCGGTCGGAGACCTTCAAGCTCCCTTTCGTCCTCTGCAGGGAGCCCTGACTTCCAGGGTCTTGTGGCAAGGGAGACAGCTCCACATAGTCAAAGGCATGGCGCTGCCCCTCCGCCTTCCAGTGACTGCCCTTTGAGCTCCCCTCGGAGCCCGAGCCCGGCCGCGGCTGCTCCTCCGCCCGCAGCGAGCCTTTCTGGGGAACGCAGTTACGGAAGTTCTCCTTGTCACAGTCAGGGAGTCTGAAAGCAGAGCAGGAGCTGGTGAAGGAGAGGCACCATGTGGGAAAGGATGCCAGCACAGGCACAGCCAACTGCTCACGGCTCAGACCCTCACTCAGCCCAGCCTCACAAAACCCCACCCTGAGTGCAGAGCTGGGCCTGTAGCACCCCATCCCTCAGGGAAATGGATTTCTCCACCAGGCAGCAAGGACCCATGCTGGTTGCAGCTATGCTGGTGGAGAAACGTCTAAACTTAGAGGCAAAAAGCAGGTACAAGGAAGGGAGCCATCAGGCTCTCAACCCCTGTCACTGGCTGGTGTAACCAAACCACTTTCAGAAGGAGCAGAGGGCAGGGCTGCTCTGGGACTGGTGAGATTTCCAGAGGGGCCTTCCTTGCCTCTGCCAGTCAGTGTAGAGGGACAGCAAGGGAGAAGAGGACAAGCAGCACTTGGCAGTTCTTACTTGGTGACGTCTGGAGCACTGACTGGGCGCACATTCTTCCTCAGGGCCTCGATCCAGTTGCGCCGGATGCCAGAGGTCATCGCTGACAGGGTGAAGACAGCATCCTTTGTCTGCAACAGAGAGGTGACAGAGGCCCTCTCAGCACCCAGGGGACGTGCAGCAGCTCCCTCTTGCTCCCTGAGACCCACAGCCACTTGCATACACCTGTGCTGGGCTCTTAGAAAGGCCACCCTCTGTCTCAGGCTCTTGGGGACAGGTGGAGAGGTGGGAGGGGTGTTGGAGGTGGATCCTTCATGAGACCATCTCCAAGCAAAGGCAAAAGAAACCTTGGCACACTGGGCCAAACATGCACTGGTGCAATACAGTTGTTGAGGTGCCAGGAGTCAGGTGCCAGCACGGGTGTACGGCAGCAGGGCACAGGGAAACCCATACCATCAAATGCCCATCCCTGCACACCCACAGAAATGCCATTTCTCATGCTGCCTTAGCAGCCACCTCCTGCTGCTACAACAAATAGCCAAGGACAGAACCGTACTGGGGCTGGATCCAGGGTACAGGTTGTCACTCAGAGCATGGTCAGCCAGGTTACATCGAGATCTGCAGTGCCCACCACTCCCCCCTGCAGCTGTGGAAAAGTTGCCTTGGCCAACACACTCAGACACTCCTGGCATTTAGCTTGGCTCCTGGATTGCCTCCAGCACAGCCTTCAGCCAGCCCTGCAAAGCCTCCTCCTCCTCCTCCTTCCTTCCTTTGCAGGCAGGCAGCCCTGATGTCCCAGAGCACTGTCACCCATGTGTCAAAAAACAACCTTGGGCCACCAAGCTGGCACAAGATCTGTAGGAATTGCCTCTCAGCATCTCGGCACTGGGAGGGAGCACACATTCCCAGCCCGTGTCCCTCGGTGCCGCCGCTGCCGGGCACTCACGTGTATCTGGAAGCCGTAGTTGCGCTGCACCGCGAACTCCGTCACATCCGTGCAGGAACGGAGGTCGATTTCTCCGTCAAGGTCATCAGCCTGCAAGCACAGCCACCCGCTAGGACATCAGTGCGCAGCCAGCTTTGGAAAAGGCCACCTCTGCCTTCATCCCACGGTTCCCTAGGAGCCAGGCTCAGCTCCCCAGCACAGCGTGGGCTGCCAGCAGCACGGATGGAGAGCATCCCACATACCCAGCCACAGGACCAGCCCTTCTCCCCAACTCCCTCCACTGACAGTCCCCCCAGACTTTGCCACCCTGCCTTCATCCTCTTCATCACCGCTTGGCAAAGAGCAGCTTGGCACCTCAGCCATCCCACAGGAGGACACGGTGCTGCTGCTTGTCCCTGGTCACGCCAGAGCTGTGCTCCTCTGCCCCCGGCCAGGAAGGAAGGAAGGGCTGGTGAAAGGCTGGCTGTGCTTACCTCCTCTGCGTTCGAGTCCCGGTAATACCTCAGGCTCGAGTCGGTCAGCACGAACCAATGTTTCTTCCACTGCAGGCGCACCGGGCAGGGGGAGGGAAGGGAAAAGACAGGAGGGAAATGGATAGGCAGTTACCAGGGAAAGTGTAGGAACAAGGAGGGACGCTCTGCACTATAACCTCCCGGCCTTCTCTTCCCCCTCCTCCCTCCCAGATCCCCCTCGGGACCCTCAGCTGGGAGAGAGGCACTCTATGAACCTCGGTGTCCACACACCTAGCAAGGCGCCTCCACCAAAAGTTTCCCGCTGCCTTTCCCAGCAGGAGAGACCTCAGTAAACAAGGAGGAAGGAAATCAGCTGTCTCACCAGGGCTCTCCTGCAGCAGGGGGCAGGGGAAGAGGAAGACTCTCATCTGAAGCTTACCTCTCCAGGCTCGTCCAGGATGGACATCCATCCCTTCTTGAAATTGAGAAGATCCGGCTGGAAAAAAAACCAGAGAATTACTGTCTTGGAGTGACCCACGAAAGGGCTTTCCATGCCATGGAAGGAGAGTCCCCTGTGGCTGAACAAAAATGGGAATAGTCTTTTAGGAAACTCATGGGGCTATGCAACCCTATGGCAAAAGAAAACTGGGCATAGCTCTCAGCAGCAGTCATTCCCATAAGAGGAAGCAGGAGATAAGGGAAGAGGTTTAAAAAAAGTAAAGGAAAACATGCAGCAAAGAGGTTTCCACAAGGTGCCTCAGAGGTATTTATTCAGAGAGGGGGAGGCAGGGACAAGGAGAGTGGGCAGAAGGGAGTGCTCCACCACCACCAATGGGGCTTGCCTCAGACATGGAGACAAAGCCACAAAGAACCAGACACGCCTTGTCCCAACCCTAGCTGTCCATGCCCCAGAGCTACGTCCCTCTGGTAGCTTCACCACCAATCATTTATTAAAAACATACTAGCTCAGCTCTCACCAAAAACCTACAGGAGGCAATTCAACAGCTGTGAAAACACTTTGACTTTAAACGATGTGCCCCAGGGTAGAGATGAAGTCAGTGCCTGATCCTCTCCCCTCTCCCTCCAAGGTTCAAGCCTTTCTGAGATTCTGAGAGTTTTTCTCTTACCCAGCTCTGCCTGCTCCCCCCCCACTACAGAGTCTGCCCTCTGCCCAGCCACAGCTCAGAAGATAAGGATGAAGAGAATTTCACCCAGATTACCCTGTGCCACAAAGAAGTTTCCAGGCACTCTCTGCCTCCTCCTAACCTCATGTCGCTGCTGCAGCATCCCAACCAGTTTATCTTCTTCCCAAGGTGGAGCACCAGAAAGCTGACTCAGGGGAACCTCTCTCCCTAGCTTTGGCCTCAGCCAAACAGGCTCGAGCTAGTCCCTCCTCCCACCCCTGCCGGCTCCCAGGAAGTTGCACCATCAAAGAATTCAGTCCAACGCCTCTTCTTCCATGGAAGTCAGTTTGCCAACCTGCCCCTTCTCAGGCAGCTGAACCAGGCAGGGACAGTGTTGGAGAAGTGATGGTACCAGAGCTGGACTTCCCAGAGGTCCAGCACCAAACCTGCCAGTCCTGTGTAAGCCACCAGCAGTCCCCACATGTCACAACCACCAGAGAGACAGAGCTGGAGAGAAGGAGGTGGCTCAGCAGCCGATGGCCACTCTACATCCCCTGAACAAGCCCAGTGGCCAGCCACACTGCCCCACAAGCCCAGCTCCCTGGCTGAACAGCCAGGCCAAGCCTTTCCCTGCTTTCATCTCCCTGAGCTGCTGCTCGTGGGTTACACCCAAGGTTATGGGGCGGCAAGAGCAGAGTGTGTGCTGGCCCACCCTGGCGCTCTGGCTATTGGCTCAAGCAGGAGCAAGGAGTCCTGCCAAGGGGAGGTCACCGCCTGCTGCAGCTTCAGGCCAGGCCAGAAGCATCCGGCAGTCCTGAGCTCCCTGGGAAGGGAGGGAAACCAGAGCAAAAGGACGTGGGGGGCTCCCAAACCCCATCTCCCGCTGAAGTGACAGGCACTGCTGGCAGCCAGGAGACACGGGGGATTTATGCACCTGCATCAACCCAGATCTATGGTGGCTCCATTGTTGCCCTGAGAAAACACCCCAAAAATTAATTCTTTCTCTGCGGCAGCAGCTCCACCCTTTTTCCCGTTATTCCTTCCAGTCCGGTGACTTAAGCTCCAGCTCTGAATTCAGAGTGGTGAGAGGGAAGGAAAGGAGACAAAACATCAAAGTACAGCCACCCCCCTCCTGGGACGCACGTGCACCCAACAGAAGAGAGAGAGATGGGCAGGCTCCATGAAGGCAGAAAAACAATACAGGGAGACAGTGGGGCTGTTGTACAGATCAGCTGGGTCTCATCTTATTGAGGATTTACAATCCCAAAGCATTAGGTGCCAAAATAATTAATATTAATGGGATGCACGCCGCTGGAAAAACTGCCATGAAGTCCTGCCAAAACTGCTGCCCCCAGTGCAGTCCTGGGGCCAGAAAATCCCCCTGGAGGGCTTTTCCCAAGTAGGCAAACTGCACAGGGTTTCTGCTTTCCCTGACAGCCTTAGGCACAAAGCTGCAGCTCTATAGAATTGTCTTGGAACTATTCTTGTCATAGTGGGGTCAGCACCACAAGTAGAGGCCTCAGTTGACACACAAAATGCTTAAAGCCACTTTTCTTCCCTTCCCCACAACCAAATCCAGTTTCCTCACCCAGCATAAAAAGCCCAGAGAAGAGCGTGGGGCTCAAAGAGAACCCCTCATCCAGAGGAAACAGCCCAGCAGTGGGAGGAGGAAACATCCAGGAAAGCCGAGCTGCTGGGAGAGATCCGGGTGCCAGAGATGCAATGATGTGGCAGGATGCACCCCCGGCAGAACACGCAGCCCTGCAACTCAGGGCTGCGGAGGGCTTGGGGGGGTGGTGGCAGTGATTTTGCCCAGTTGCAACCATACCCATCAGAGTTTTATGTTCAGCCCCACAGCTGGCCAGATAAAGGCGCTGGAGGGGCTCTCAGGTAGCTGGGACATAGGTGATTTCTGGAAAGACTGGCTTGCAACAGCAGGTTAAGGATCGGCAGCTGCCTGCTCTAGTTGAAGAAGGGCTACAGGGAAGGTGATAACAGTCTGTAAGTATCCGAAGAATGTAAACACCAAAGAAGGAAAAGGGACAGGGTGGGAGCAAAGGAATTGCTCCCGGGTGGTACTGAGGCGCCAGGATGGAGAAGTGGAGGAGAAGAGGCTGTGGGAGGCTGAAAAAGCTCAGTGTCTGAGCAGGATAGTCAGGTGTGTCCTTTCATCACCAGCCTTTGTCATCACCCTGCCTCCTGCTCTTCCCAAAATCTCCTGAGCAATGTAGGTTCTGAGGCACTGCTTCCTCCCACCTTCGGGAGATGGTGCAAGGAGCTCTCAAGCCTCCCGGAAAGCACAATGTCTCCGCTCCTCCAAAAGGGGAACCCACTTCATAAGGCGCGGGCCCCAGGCCAAAACACAAAGCAAAACCGCTCCAGCTCAGCTGGGCGAAAGCAAAATCACTCCCAGCCTGGAGCACACATGCAGCTCCCGAACCTACACGTGCAGTGAGGAGAGCCAGCGACGACGGGCTCTCCCTCTCCCACCGCCCCCGTGCGAAAGGCCGGCGGGCACAGCCCAGCCTGTCACCTCCCTCACCCCAGCGCCTGTGCCAAGCAAGGTGCGCCCCAGGGGTGGGATGCTCCCTGCCCCAAACCGCATCTGTGTACCACAGGGAGCCGAGCTCCCCACGCCCGGGGGGAACACCAATTTCGCACCCGACTGCGGTCATAGGTGCGCCGAGCCGGCCTGGCCTCAGCCTGCTCCACGCTCACGCTTACCGGGGTGGGTGGTGCCCACCGGGGCCGGAGCGGCCACGGGGAGCCCCCGGGGGACCCCGGCGGTGATGGGGAAGGGGACCGAGGAAGAACCGGCACAGCCTCGAGTGCGGGGGCCAGAGTCCCCGGGGAGCTGCGGCTGCAGAGCCCCGGAGCGGCGGCTGACAGCTGGGGTCCCCCGGCCCCGGGGTGTCCCCCGGGCTCCGCAGGAGGGGTCCCCGCCACCTCGGCCCGCCGAGCCCCGAGCCCCAAGTCCCGACTCACCGTCATGGCGGGGGCGCCGCGGCCGGCGGGGCCGGGGCCGGGGCCGGGGCGGCATGGCCGGGGCTGGCACCGGGGGTCGCGGCGGGGTCGGGCGCTGGCAGCCAGGGCGGCGGGGCGGCTTCAGCGCCCGGGCGGCTGCCACGGCCCCACCATGCCCGCTCCGCCGCCCCGAGCGATCCCCGCGCGCCTCTTCCTTTTTTCTTTCTTCCTTTCTTTTTTCTTTTTTTTTTTTTTTAAAAAAAAAAAAAAAAAAAAAAAAAGGAAAGGAAAAGGAAAGGAGGGGGGAAAAAAAGAAAACCACCCCAAAAAACTTTTCTTTCCTCCCCTCAGAACTTCCTGGGAGGACCCGGGCAGGCCAATGGCAGCCGCCGCCGCCGCCCCGAGCGCCCGCAGCCAATGGAGCCGGCGGGGCGGGCGAGGCCGCCGGTCCGCACGGAAAGGGGCGGCGGCCCCGGGGCCCCGGGGACGGGACGGGACGGGGGCGATGCTGCGGCTGAGTCGTGTCCCCTTCCTGCCCCGCTAGCCCGGGAAAGGTGAAGCCCTGGGAGGGACGGGCTCAGCCGCTGCTGCCCCGGGAAGGGGCTGCCAGGAGCCCAGCCTTTACCCAGGCAGGGTTTGCTCCCATGCTGGGGTTTTTCGAAGGCAGGGATTTTCAGCAGTGCACACAATGGAGTCCTCGCCTTGGGGCCTGGGGCCGCTCGGTTTTATCCAGCGAACTGAACCCCGCTGGGCTCATGGCAGGGGTGGTAGGAGGTCATGGGGAGTTGCCCAGTGCCCCTGGAAAGCCATGCCAGCTGGCTTCAGGAAAGGGAATTGCTAGAGAGGGTTCCAAAGGAAAAGGGGAGAGGGGCTGTGCATCACAATATGCCAGGCTCCGCTGTGCAATCACACCGAGGTGATGCTTCTTGCTGCAAGGCAAAGGGTAGGTGCCAGAGCTCAGTGCTGAAGAAACCCAGCACAGCTGGGGCGATCTGGCCCGGTTGTGCATGGTGAGTTCGGGGCTTTGGGCTCCTCTCTGGCCTGATGCAGGGAAGTGAGGGAGAGGATGTCACCCGTTTCGAGTTTCAGAGGCCTTTGACAGCCTCTTTCCTGGCTGCAGTTTGTCCTTGTATAAAGAACAAAGGCAGGTCCTAGCAGAGGATGACCTGGCTGAGATGACTGATGTGTGCAGAGGGGGACAGAGGCAGGAACTTGTGTGCAGCTGCCAGCTACATGGGCTCCTGGAATACTTCCTGCAGCCCCCCAAAGCTCCTGCAATGCCAGTTTGCAGGAGTGCCAACACAATACATGGTATCTTCTTTCACACCACTAAAGCCCACTTCATCCCTGTGAAACCCTCGGTGCCATCACAGCACTGGCCAATAATAAAGCAGAGGAAAGCAGCTGCACTGAGATTTTAGTCCCAGATCTACTCTTTGCCCTTCTCTGGCTTTATAAAAAGGCTCTGTGCCTCAGTTTCCCCACCTGAGAAATGGGTGAAGGACAATGTGAAGGGGAGTGTTGGTGAGCACAGCGTTCAGGACATCAGGGGAAGGCAGCACCATGCTGGACCTGCTCAGGTCAAGTGCTGGAGACCTAGGTCCTGCCCTCAGTGACCCCCAGAGAAGGGCAGCTGCCCTTCCTCATGATTCCCAGGGCCTGGCCCCTACCTTGTTGCGCTTCTTACTGGCATTCAAATGTGGCTGCGGGCTTCCTGAGGAGCCAGTGCTGCTTTGTGGTGGGAAGGTGCTTCCACCCAGCTGGGGCTGCAGGGGAGAAAGCAGGAGCTGAAGCCATTGGGGTTTAGTCCTCACCTCAGTTTCCTAGATCTGAGCATCCATCTCCTGGCGTGAGGCAGGGAAGAAAGCATCTTCCCTCCTCCCAGTGCCAGGCAGGCACTACAGTTTCCCTGGAGAAGCAGAGGACCCGAGGGAATCAGGGTGCACATAACTGCAACCCAGTGGACCCACCCAGTCTGTGCTTGCCAGCTTTAGGCCTTGCAGGGCCCCCATCACCTCCAGCTCCTGCCCTACTCACATGGTACATGAGAAGACTCTTCTTCCCCCAGTCAGTTTCCAATGGCTTCTCAGGGCTGTGTGTATCTCGTGCGTGCTCGGGACCCTTCCAGTCCTCCTCCAGATGCTGTACTGGACTCTCAGGCCTTTTCCAGCTGTCATCCGGCCGTAGTCCCACATCCAGACATCTAGCAGGGTTTTTCCAGTCCCTTTCCAGCTGGCGCATCACATCTGCATGGCACACGGGCATCTCTTGGCGCTTCCAGTCCTTCTCCCACACCTGTGCTTGGTGGGCATCCCCCCGGCCCCTCCAGTCCTGCTCCAGTGGCCGTGTTGGGCTTGTGGGGCGCAGGGGCTTGCCCCGGCCTTTCCAGTCGCTGCTGGTGCCCTTTGCGGGCTGGGAGGAGGTCAGCTTTTCCCGCAGGCTCTGCCAGCTGCATTCCGATGGCTTCCTGGGCCCTGCCAGGTGCAGCGGCTCCCCCGGCTTCACTCGTTGCCTCTCTGCGCCCCGCACCAAGCTGGGAGGGGAGATCTCCTTTTGGCTTTTCCTCGTGCTCTCTGCACGCCTCCCAGGACTGAGGGCCCGTGGTGGTGGCCCTGCCCGGCTCAGCCTGACGTTATCTGAGCCCTTCCCAGCGCCTGTGGGCTGCAGGGAATCCCCTCGGCTCTTCTTCTCCAGTGCCGGCCGTACACCCCCTGCTTGCCAGGTGCCTCGGCCCCTCTCCGAGTTTGGGGGGCGGGCAGGCTCCCCTCGGCTTCTCCAGCTTCTCTCGGTGCGACAGGGAGGGTTCACGGGCTCCCCTGCTCTCCTCTCCGGCCTGCAGGCTGGGCTCGCGGAGCGTGGGCTCCGGCTGCCTCTCTCCAGCAGCCAGCCGGGGCTGGCAGGGCGGGGGGAGTCCCCCCGGGTCCGGCCGGCCTTCTCGGGGTGCCGAGCTGGGCTGGGGGAACGCCGGGGCTCCTTGGGGTCTCTGCTGCGCTGCTCGAGCTGCCAGGAGAGTCGCTGAGCCTGGGTCACAGGGGAGAGAGAGCAGGGATCCTCTTAAAGAAGTGCCAATGAGCAGGACAAGATGGGATTAGGGCTGGCAGGTGATTTGGTTAAATGGTTCCCTGGAGAGCAGTTGCATTCCTGTGCATGGAGCCAGTCCATACTGTAGAGAAGCCTCTTGCACCCAAAGGGTGAAAGGGCTGCTGCATTTTAAGAGCCAAGGGTCCCAATCCATGACAGAGGGAGAGCTGGGATTAAAGGGAAGAGGGAGAAGGAGAATGAAAGAGAGAAGCACGTGGCAGAAGAAGAGGAAAATGTGACAGGAAAAAGCAACTCAGCTTGCAGAGCTGGATGAGGTCCTGCTGTGCAGCCAAGCCTCACCTCCCTGGGCAGGTTGGGGCTGGACCGCCTCCGAGTTAGGTGGCCTTTGCTGGGTGGCACCGGCGTCTTGCCATCGAGCCGCTCCACACGGCCCTCCTCCAGAGCCTGGAAGGCCTCCAGCGTCTCTGATTTCCTATGGGCACACACAGTTGGTCCAGCTGCCACCCTGCTCAGCTTGGAAGCAGAGCCCCTGCCAACCCTGCTCCACCTTAGCCTGACCCCACAGACCTCCCCCTGCCCCAGACACTGTGAGTGCTGTACCCTCTCCCTGTCCCCACCAACCACCTCTGCTTTCATACCCTGCTGCCTCACCCATGTCTTCTTCACACTACTCCTCAAGCTTCCCTCCATCTTTACATCCCACCCACTTGCCCAGGATTCTTTTCCATTCCCTCTTTGTGTCCCATCCTGCCCTGTATACCAGTACTGGAGTCGCTCTTGCTCCTCCAGCTAAAGCCTAAACAGCTGCTGGGTACTTCTTGGCATTCCCTATAATTTCCTGAGTGGTTCCTACAGTGAATGTGGAATCCCTGAGGAGCTATTGGTGCTAGGATTGGGGAACACCCCTTTCCTGGCCCTTTTACTGTGGGGAGCCCTGGTTTGCAGCAGGTCCTGCAGCTTCCAGGTGGCTGTGAGGATGAGGAAGGTGGGCTGCTCCTTTCCAGCAGTGCAGCTTAGCTCCACCTTTCCAACAGCCTCAGCTGCCCGTGTGCTGCAATGGAGGAGGCTCTGAACCAATATCCAACCCCTGCTTTGAGGGAAACTTAAGCACAGCTGAAAGCTGAGCTCTGCCATCTAGCCCTGCCTTCCTCCTGAAGCACGGCAATTCGGGAGGGGAGCCCCCCAACAGCACGGAAGGGCAATCCCCTGCCTCTGGAGCACTGTGGGGTCCCGTTACTTCTCACCTGCGCTCGCATCCAAATATCCTCTCCACCTCCACTCGGCCAGGGCTGAGTGTCCGGGAACCACAGCGGTCAGCAGCGTCGCGCTGCCCGAGGCGCTTGGGCTTGGGCAGGTCTGCCAGCACCGTGTACTCCTGCCTCTCCAGCCCGTGCCGCGCCTCTGCGCCGCCGCCGTGCCCGTGGCACTCCCGGAGCCGTGGGCCAGAGAGGGGCCCGCTGGCACCCAGCAGGTCGCTGCGGGCCGGCGGGGAGCTGGCCGGGGTGCGCGGCAGGGTGGATGCCCAGGGAGGGTCTGTTTTTCGGTGCTTGGGCCAGCTCTCCTCGGGCTTCTGGCTGGCAGGACGGCGCTCTGGGACGGGGAGAAGGCCGTTACTGGGGGAGGCGCGAGCGACGCGGGATGCCACCACGTCCACGGCAAAGCAGGTCTTCGGAGGAGAGCTAGAAATGGTCCAGGAGGGCAGAGATAAAACCCAGACTCCCTCGAGGCAGGGTGGGAGCACTGGAACACTTTGAGGCGAGGGCATGCCAAACCATGCAGATAGAGAGCACCCGAGACACCCACGGTTCACAGTCAGCACACACACAGATGGACTCTCACACAGTGCCCATGGATGTGTTGAACACTTCCTGGGACCAGAATTAGATAAAGAGATGCTAAATCTAAACAGAGATCTGCCTTGAACCTCAGAGACCCCTGGGTGGAAAGCAAACCAGAACCAGGATGTCACACAGGAGCAAACCAAGAGTACCTGCTTTCAGTGGACAGATTTCTTTCCTAAAGCCCTGTGCTTCAGTTCTCACCCAGGATCCAGAGGGAACAGGCTGAGCCCACCTGGGTCTGTCTGCCTGTGGGGCTCGTGACCGCACCTCCTCCTTATGGCCCAAGTAGCTCATCATGTCCCGTTTGCCCGATCCCAAAGTGTTGTCCCACAGCCGGGTCATTTCCCCTTCCTGGGAGACAGGATAGGGCAGATCTCTGCAATGGGGACTAGTAGCTTCTGTGGGCTGGAAGGAGGTAAGAGTATACATGAAAACTTACAGCCTGTTCAGCTCAAAGCTGCTGATAAAAAGGAACCAGAAGAGGAGCTGTGTGTGTGTAAGATGATGCCAGACCAACGATGGCAAGAAACAACATAGAAAAGTCCACATGGGAGTATCCAAGAGCAAATCTCATGAGCTCTTTAGGGGGAGAGCCTCCGTTGTGGGGACTAAGAGTCTCAGCTGATCCCCCCTTGCATCTCAGGACCTTAGAATCATAGAATATCTCAAGTTTTAAGGGACCCATAAGGAACATCAAATCCACCTCCCTGCAAATGATGGGCTCTTTCTTCCACCTGCCCAAGGCAGGAGAGCCAGAGGGGCAAATTCAACGTGTCTGTGTGCCCAGGAACCTGCTGAATGGGCCCAGCAAAAGCGGCATTGAAGGGCCAAGGGAGCTGGGGAGACCAAAATAACCCAAACCACCAGAGATCCCCATCTCACCCTGGCAAGCGTGGAGTTGGCTTCAGCACAGGCGCTGGGGTCGGTGCCAGTTTCTCTGTGCTCGCCCTCAGCTCCGGGGCTGAGTGGGGGATACCGCCTGCTCTCGTGCCAGCTGTGGGGCAGGGAGAGAGGACAGCTGGTGGTCACCACAGCCCGCAGAGCTCAGGGGTGAGTGACAGCACTGGCAGCCCAAGCCACGCTGACTCAGTCTCTACTGGATGGGCATGGGCTGGCAGATCCTGAGACCACCAGCCTTGCTCTGGAGGGAATGAGGATGAAGAAGACTCTTTCAGGGGCCCCCTGACCTCTCCAGGGTCAGCCCAGAGGAATGGTTAGAGGGCATGGCACGGGGGTTTCTCAGACCTTTTTCCCAGGCACCAGTGTGCAGAGCATCAGGAAAAAGGCAGGTGATTTCCCCCTGCTTGGCTTCCCGCTCCCCCTCCTCCGTTCTTCCCGCCGAAGGGGCCTGCTGGAGCAGCAGGGCTCCCGCTGGTACTCACCGCTCCGTGCCCTCCGCCGGGCCCACACACACGTATACCTCGCACTGCGGGGCTAAAATATGGAGGGAGTCCCAGGGCTCTCCTGGGGCCGCGTCGCTGCAGGCATCGCGCCCTGTGACCTCCGTGCCATCATCCTGCCAGGCAGAAGGGGTGCAATGGTGCTGTCAGCGTGCCAGGGATGAGGATGAAGGCTGCCCCTTGGAAATGCCTGCTCCTTCTACCTCCTCCGAGAGCAGCCTGGCCTCCAGGGCTCTTGATATTTCTCCCAGCCCACCGTTGAGATTTTTCTCCTACACTGAGAGGCCAGGGAGGCCCAGCACACTCCTATTTGATGCTGAATGCTGCAGACATCCCAGAGACTGCATGTGTGCATGAGGGTTCAGGGAAACTGCCCCCCCATGCCAGCACTGATGCTGCTGGTAGCTGCTCTCCCTCACCAGCAGGATAGCTCAGGGAGAGGCAGTGGAGCCAAGAGGAAGGAAGATTTTTGCAGAAAAGGCTGTAGTCCAGCCTCTGCCTCTCTCTGTCAGGGCTTGCAGGCATCTCAGCATCCTCCCTGGCCCCCGTTACCTGGGGGGCTTAGGAGCAGCAGAGGGGGAGGCTCCGGGGAGCCGGCTGTCTGCGCTGCCTTCCCTCCAGCGTCTCGCCTGCACCAGGATGCACTCAGAGCTGACAGCTCTGAGCAGATCGAGGGTGAAGGGCTGAGGTAACCTTAGAGGGCCCGAGGCCAGGAGGAGAGGGGGAGAGGGTGAGAAAGAGAGAGGGAGGCTCATTACTATTTCATCATTCCTGGCCAGTCGCTCCTGGAGGACGTCAAACAACACGAAACCCGCTGTGAACATGAAACCAGCTGCTGCCCAGTCAGAGACAGCCAAGGAGTTTGTGTGTCCAGTCCTGTCCCAAAGGATCGTGTCAGATCAAGGTATCTGGAGCACAAAACCCCATGAGATTTACCCCTCTCCTGCCTTCTCCTCTGGGAACATCTTGCTGAAGCTGCCTCAGGGACAGAACGGAGCCCTGGCCCCAAGCCAGCAGCTGAGGCCATAGGGAATCGACCAGGACCATATTTAAGGTGAGGCAAAGCTGTAAATGCCAGCAAGCGTCAAGCAGAGATTAATGCAGGGCGGGTCCCTGCTCTGCCAGTCTCCAGTTCCCTCCTTGTGGCTTTGCATCTGTACACCCCTGCTTTCCCTTCCAGCAAAAGGCTATCAAGCCCCTTGTATCCAGTGTCCAGCACTTCCCTGCTCACCTTGGTTCCCAGCTTTGGTCTGACACAGTTAAATGAAGCATTCCTATGCCTGGAAAGGGATGCCTCATAGAGATTTTCCCCACCAAGAAATCTAGAAATCGTGGCTGAGCCTTTGTCTTAGGGATTTCTATCTCTAAAAAGGCAGGTGGAGTCCCAGTAAAGAGGCCCTTAATGCAGTGTCCACAGCCTGCAGGCGGGATGGAGGAGCTCACCTGGACAGCATGCTGGTGAGCCCCTGCGGCTCGGAAACAGTGCTGGCACAGGCTCTTTGCAAATATGTTGGCTTCAAAGTTCATGCAAGGCACGTCATCCACTGAACCAGACATTGTGCATAGCAGGGACGAAGATCTTTGGCTGATGGGCTGCTGGCAGGGGCCAGCCAGGAGAAAAAGGAGGAAGGAACAGCAGCAGAAGAAGCTGTGGAAGCAGGAATGTTATTTCCAGACTGAAGTTTGCTGGGAGACAGCTGTCAATAGTGGAATCAAAGGGAACCCAGGTACAAGGTGATCCATATAAATACAGATAATAAAAGAATGTGCTCTAGCAGAGACCTCTTTTAGAAGGGGCAGTGCACTCTGAAATGACTGCTGACTCTCCTCTGTTTGGGAGTCCTTGTGAACAGAGAGAATGATGCACATGTCCTGCTATTTTGTTTGATGGAAATGGTCTTTCTCCCTCAAAACCCACAAAAACTAAACCTTTCTTCTTAAGAATGTTGGTCATAAAGGGATGTCTCTAAGCAGCTTAGGAAATTTGGAAACCCATTGAGACTCTTGTTAATCCTGCTAAAATTTTCAGACCTGTAGGACAGCAGACTGCAAAACTGAAGGTAACAAGCCTTGCTAGTATGACAGCTGGCATCCACATTTCTGTTCTGTTTTCTTGCAAGCATCCTGCCCACCATCACCTCCTCTGTCCTGCAAGATTTGAGAGTGAGTCCTCAGATTTGAGAATGTGATCTGAGCTGGGAGGGTTCTGCCTAATTTTCCTGGAGGGGGCACCAACAGAAGGACAGGAAATCAGACCAGCACCTGAGAGGTGAACATGCCACTGGTGCCGTACACATGGACATTTGAGTCAGAGCAGCTGATCAAGGCTACGGCTGCTCCTCAAAACAGCCAAGGCCAAACGTCACTGCCAAAGCAAAGCTATAATTTTTGTTTGCCAGTGCACTCATTTTCAGTACAGCAAGTTGCACTAGGTGCCAGCCTTGCAGCATCCTTCCTCACAATGGGGCATGTTTGCTTGACTTGTTCACACAAAATGCTTGACAGGAACCTAAGCACTCCCCTGCCAGGGATGCAGCACAAAACACGCCAACATCGCTGCCCATCACTGCCCGTGGACTGCCACCCGTGGCTGGAACCCCGGGTACCCCACTGCCTGATGGGCAAATCATCACTCCCCACATCCCCTGGGGCCTGCTGCCAGGATAACGCTGCGATCCCCAGAGCCTCTGGCATGCATGCAGTGCTCAGTGCTCCCAGTAACTCCCAGCAGCTCCCAGTATTCCCAGTATCCCCAGTACCTCGGCTTCCCCACGGCTCCCAGCACCTCGCCGCCCGCCGCGCTCCCCCCTCAATGAAGCTCGCCGTGGGAACCGCGGGGCGCGCGGCCCCGCCCCCTCCCCTCTGATTGGCCGCCGCCGGGCAGCGATTTGAATGCCGCCTCCTGATTGGGCGGCGGCGGCGCGCGGCCATGGCGCCCCCGGCGCGGACTCGCACGTGTCGCGGGCGGCGGGGCCCGGCCCGGGCAGCGGCACCGGCACCGGCACCGGCACCGGCACCGGCACCGGCTCGGCCTCTGCCCTCCCCAGGGACCGCCCCACCGCCTGCCCAGGGCCTGCCCGTGCTCCTCCGAGGCAGCACCCCAAGAGTTGGTCATCCCGAAGCTGAAACAGATGCCAAACGCCACCGTGTCCCAGCACAGCTCCAACTGGGGGTCATGCACAGCACTCAGAGAGATTTGACTAACGTGGGCTTTACCTACCCTGCCTGACCCTCGCTATTTCTAGCAGAACGCCCTTAAAATCTGTCCTCCACTGCTCCTTCTACAATTCAAACTCCTTCTCTTCCCGATGCTGGTAACAGTTACAAAAAATTCAATTTCACTTTTTGTTCATTCATTAGGGGCAGTCTGCAATCCACTCCTCAAACCCATCTACCTCACACAACCCATTATTCAGTCCCTGAAAGTTCTCATCACTCTCCCAGTAATTTTTTTCCTCGAGTTCATTTCTGGAACACAGTGCTGGAAGCAGCAGCGTGACTGTACCAAGTACAGCCTTGAGCTCGATACACGACAAAAGCAATAACTACAGTGCACTGATTATCACACAGCTCAGGCACACACTGAAGCCATTCCTCCCTTTTGCTGTGCTCCAATTTTCCCCCAACTGTCTGATCTTTTTGGCTCCCAGTCTGCTTTTGATCCTCTGTAATCCCAATTATATTTTTGTATGTGCATGTGTGCGTAACTGCAGCCTAGCCAGTGAAAGCCATCATGCATGGCAGTCCCAGTGTGGCAGCCCCAGTGTGGCAGCCCATGTCAAAGCCCTGCATCTCCGTGCCAGCCGTGGTGCCCGAAGTGACCTCGCTGCAGAGCCACACGTGATGCATCTCTGTGCCAGCCCGGGGCACGTGCACAGCAACGCGCAGGTGCCCAAAGTGACCTCGCTGCAGAGCCACACGTGAAATGCCTGTGGAAAAGGGGCTTCACAGGGAGCTGCTGGTCTCTGTTTTCCCTTTACGAAGCAGCAGCTGCACTAGCATGTTCATTTTTGCAAGTACCTTATATTTTTCAAGTACCTTACATTTGGAAGCAGCCTCCTCCTGAGCAGCTAAGGCGAGGAAAAAAACCCAAAATGTTCAAATCCATCTTGAAAACAAGTGGAAGCAGCAAAGAAGAATTTTAAGCCAGTCTGATATGAACTGTGACGTGTCTGGCAAACACTTCACTCACTGACTTGTGTGCAAAAACTCATATCCTCATTTCAATATATCCAGGGGTAGCCTGACTGTATACCCTGTGCATAACAAAAGCAGCACAGGGTATACAGTCACTGAGGGCTGAGTCAGTAATTCACATTACAGATTAAAGCTTTAATCAATCAAATGGAGAAATCAATAGTGTAGTGAACAATCCTGATGGTTAACGCTGCATAGGATTTAACAGTTTTGTTCTCAGTTTTTCCATATGTTTTTTTTTAATTTCAAAACTCATTTTCTAGCAGGAACTGAAAGATTTGAGAGCATGGAAGGGGCTGTTGGAGACTTCAGCTGACACTTGAGAAAGGCTCAAAAATGTTACTAGGCCAGGGAAACAGCAAACTAAAAGTGAGATTCTTCTAGATTCTTCTAGATCACCTGGCAGCAAAATGACAAAAACTGAAGCCATTATTAGCACCTCATCTGGAATACAATGAGGTCATCCAGCTCTGTCCCAGCTACCATGCCAGGCTTCCTACAGGCTGGGGAAGGCAACTGAGCCACATTCCACACTCCACACTCCAGCAGATTTCTCAAACAATAGTATGTTTCTTTTACAGTGGCCATCCCAGCTCCAGAGCAAACTCCTCGGGTGAGGAGGCATACAGGTCACCTTCTGTCCACAGTCACTCCACAAGGCACTATGTCCTGGAGAGAAGGGAAAGCTGCTGCATGATCCAGACCAAGGATGTCACCCTGTGCTCCAGCTTTGAGCTGCAGTGTCCTTGGTGTGATACACCTCTCCAAACAGAATTTCCCTCTCCTTATCTCCTTCACCCCTCTCAAACTCACTAGAGCACTCTAGAGCATGTAACTCCCAAACCAGTACAAGAAATGATTTATACTCCACACATGGGACCTCTTGGATACTTTGGCTGAGATCCAGTTGAGCATAACACTTTTGGCCTTGCCTGAGTTGTGTTTTTGCAGCTCTGAAACACCCAAGAACCCCAGGTGAGACAGGTGGATAGGTAAGCTCACCCATCAAATCCCATGACCTTTCTGGAGTGGTCTTTAAGACAGCGTTAAAAGGTGAGGTGAGAAAACCACACACACACCTTAAAAATGTGACTGAGTTTATTCTGTTAGTGTTCAGAACTCAGCCCAGGGTGGGACTCTGAATCCAAGCATACAAGGCACCAGTGGTAACAGTGTCCACTTCCTCAGCAGTTACCTTCTTCAGAGGGGAAAGGCAAGTGCAAGAGGACCCCATTCCTTACCACAAGCACATGTGTCGTGCGTTGCCTGGCTCCTTCCAGAAGCCTCCCCGTAGCAGAAATTGTGCTGCTGCTGTCAGTGTTGAGGTCATACCCTCCCCCTTAACACACTCTGGAGAACAGCTCTGTGTGCACACCCTACAAGGAACGATGGAGAGAGACATCAGGCTGGTGCCATTCACTTTAGCGGCTGGTGGCCCTCAGCATTGTTCTGATGTTCCTCCATGTGGCCTCAGGCACTGCTTTACTCTTTTCCCTCCCATTTCTGGCATGAGGAATCTATTTACTTGCCCATTGCTGGGTTGCAAATTTTTCTGGTGTGGGTTTTGGACACATAGGCCTTTTCTTTCTTTGTCATTTCCTTTTCAGTGCACACATGGCATGGGAGGAGGCTTGGCTGACAGAAGCAGAATACTCCAGGATACTCCAGGACAGAGGCCAGCACACTGCCTGGGCTCACTCTCCTCCTCAGAGGATTCACTCACAGTTTTGCCACGCATATTCCTAAATCCCAACCATACAATTTTTTTTTCTTCCCCTGCTGAGGGCAACCACAGTAAAAAAACATACACAGAGGTCCTAAGAAAAAAGGCAATTAGCTGCTAATAACTGCAGCAACCCTGAGGTAAAGGACAAGGGCAGCCTGTGCCACTCCCACCCCGGAGAGGGCCACACACACACAGCAAGGGCATTAGGGCATTTCATACTCCCCTGAGCTATCGCAGTTACGATCGGCATATTCAGCAGACAATGGAATGAGCCATTCCTGCTCTAGCTGGCTCTGCCTTGCCACAGAAATAGCTCCTAGCTATTCCATTTTCCAAGCACCAGTGGATTTCAATATCCTTTAAACACCAGGAATTACCTCCCCCACTTTCCAGTTGGTACTGGCGTTAGCATAGCTCCCATTATGCTTCAAATAAGTCACAGATTTTTGTTTTACTTGGCAAAATGACTTCAAATTTATTCACAAAGTTACCCAATTTCACCTGGCACAAGTACCAAATAAAAAGTACCCCTGCATTCAGGTGTGGCACTGTGTTGTGTGGTGAAGAAACACAGGAGACAAGATGACACCACGTCTCCATGGAAAAAGGATTTACTGCACAGCAGAAATGCCAGGGCACTGATGCAGGAGTGCAAGCAGAGCTCTCCCAAGTCTCTCAAATTGCCCTGACAACGATGTGCCTGTTGCACTCTGCCCCAGATCCCCTTCTTTGATAAAGCCAAATATCAGCTCTGAAAGGGGGGGCCAAGGACAGAAGGGTTATGCCAAATAGAGAACACAACCTTCAGCAGAAGTTTTTAAGATTCTGTGGTACCCAGACACTCAGCTGCAGATCACTGGAAAAATAAATGGGCAGAGTGTCTGGTCACCCTGGCCAGTGCTCAGGAGGCTACAGAAAGGCTGAACTGGCCTGGGTTAATGGCTAGCCAGAATGCCATGTAAACAAGGTGCTTGCCCACAATGACAGGGACCCAAAGAGCAGCAGGCCAGATGTGGAGCACTGTCCCAGCTGGTGGTCTGAACATTAGTTTCTCTGTTAATCCTGGTCACGGCCCATTTTCCCAGTCAGCCGCCGACGCTGAGTCTTGGTGGTTCGCCCTGTGCAGGACTTCTGGATTTTCTTACGTGGGCCTTGCCCACGTTGGGATCTCTTTCTTTTTGTCTTCTTTTGGCTGTGCATGTGCAGTGTGGCAGTAAGAGAAGAGATTCTGTGCAGGGCAGAAAGAGAAAAGTGTTTGGAGACCAAAGCCTGCAGAAGCAAGGCGACACCACCACAATAGCTGGAGAGCTCTGTGTGGCCCAGCAGGAATGGATGCCACACACAGCAAGACCCAGAGGGACTCTAAGCTATGCAGGAAACCTGCAACCCTCTACGTGCGGTGACAACAAAAATTAATGTTGTGAGCATCGTGCTGCCCAGACCCCACAGAGTTAAAGCAACTCTCCACACCCTCAAAGCAGCCGTAAAACCTGGCTACTGAAAAATGCAGAGAATGCCTTAGCTTTCAGCTTTAGGAGCCTCTGACCTTCAACCCTAGAGACAAGCTCTGCGGCGGTGAAGGAGCGGTGGGAGGAGCGGACAGCGGACGGAGCGCAGCCCGCTCCCGCTCCGCCAGCGCCCTCTGCGGGCCCGCACCGCGCAGCACCGCACCGCACCGCGCGTCCCGGAACCCAGCATCGCCATCGGCTTCCAGAGCCCGACAGAGGCACGGAGCAATCTGTACGCACTTTTCAGACAGGAAGGGGTTTCTGGACTTCTTGGGCATTGTTCTCACAGGCTTGTTCACCACCTCTTCCCCTTTCTCTTCTTCGGATCCATCAGTTTTTCCCTTAACAAGAAAGCACTTTTGTGATTCTGGTGAACTAACTAGTCACAGATGAAGATTTCTTAATTTTCCACACCCCTCGCTGTCCAAGTGTCAAGGTTTCCTGTTGCAGTCCCACAGAAGGGCACAACCAGAGATGTCCTACAGTAATCCATACCAAGATTCAAAAACTTCAGCATGATCTTAATGGCCATGTGATTGAAGTTTAAACTTGAATGAACCAAAGGTCTTGGCTTTTGCTTAAATTACTACCAAGACATCTCAGAGTGGACTTTCAGATTAGATAACATGAAAAATATAAGCACAACCAACACCTGACAGTCTCTAAGAAACACATACAAGCTCTTAGTTACAATGTATTTTCAGAATAAAAGTGACCACAACCAGAACTGAATGGTTTCCTTATTTGAGGTCCAAGCACGGGATTAGGGAGAGAAAAATGCCTCCTCATGCTAACAGTAATATTTCTGAAGAGGACACAGGAAAGAGGTCAAGGATGGACCATTTGGCAACGTCTGAAATCTTGCTGCTTGTCTTGTATCAGCTTTTAAAGTATTACACTGTTGCAATCTAGTTCAGTAACTTTTCATTTAACCAGGGTCAGTCAGGACTAGCAAAGTGTTCCAGAGAGGTGTGGAGTGAGCTATTCATACAGAACATTTCCTTCTCTTTAGAGGCCCAGTTTAAATTGTGGAATAGTAGAAAAGTTATGAACTTCCCTTTCCATCCCTGTTCCCAGCCAGCTGCAAGGCCTTGGTCATACTCAGGGACCACCAGCCCTACCTCACCAGCCCCAGGAGAGTGTACAGGTGATACAGAGAGGTAGCAAGAGGCTTTACCAGGGGGCTGGTCAGTCCCAGCTGGCGTGCCCCTGACAGGTCCAGGTCGCTGATGGTGGTCACTGTTACGATGTGGTTTGGGTGGTCAATGTTCACAGACTCCGTCCGCGATGTCACCAAGTGCTCCAGCTCATCAGCCTCCTCTGCGAACACAAGAAATCCTACACTGCAAAGTGCCCAACTTTTCACAGGATAAACTCACCTGTTTCTGATGCACCACGTTGGGCTGGGGGGACACCTGGCCTTAGTGTGCAGGGATAAAGGGCACAGGGGCCTGGCACTGGAGCCTGGAGGGCAAGCTCCTTCTCCCCACTGAGGGGACCTGCTGACACCTTGGAGATGTCCTCCTGCTCCTTCCTTTCTGTACAATCCCATGACTGGTGGGACAGAGGGCTGCGGGGTCACTGCTCAGATTGCTGCCCAGCTTGTCTGGGGAACACGACAGGCCCGAGCAGCTGTTGTGGGACAGCGTGCGAGCATCCCTGCCCCAACCCTCAACACCCACCCAAGGCTGCCGGAGCACGGGCGCCCACCTCCCTCCCCACCGAGGGCCAGGACGTACCGAGCGCCTCCTCCCTCTCGCTCAGCATCTTCAGGTACTCCTGGTGCCGCTGAGGAACAGAAACAGGTCATGGGGCCTCTGCCCGCCCCGCTCACGGCCCGCCCTGGCGAGGGGGCACTCGAGACCCTTCCCTCACCTCCTCTTTAATTTTATTCTGCTCTTTCTTCAGCTTCTGTTTGATCTCCTCCAGCGCCGCCTTCCTCCGCTCCACCTTCCGCTTGTGGAAGCCGGTCAGGTACTCCCTGCCGCCGACAACACAGAACGGCCCGGCTTTCAGCACCGGGGCTGCCCGGCTTTCAGCCCCCGGGGCTGCCCTCCCTCACGGCCTGCGCCCGGGGCCCGCCCGGCCTCACCTCCGCTGCTTCTCGTCGAAAGTCACCACCAGCCGCCCCTCGCGGGCAGAACCCTTCTTGTTCTTCTTGCGGCCCATGGCGCTCGCACGCTGCCGCCGCCCGCCCCTTCCGCCGGAACCCGGCAGCTCTGTCCTTCCCCCGGCGCGGGCGGGACGCGGCAGCCGCGGCACGGCCCTGCATGGGCCTGTGCCCGGCCCCGGAGTCCGGCCTGGAGCGGGCCGGGCTTTGCTTCAGGCGTGGGAGTCTCCGGCCACGCTCCTCGTCAGCTTCCTCCCAGCAAGAGATTCTGTGGCTCTGCCTTGTGCTGAGAGCGTGGCAGTGTAGCACCCGCTCTCACAGTGTAGCCCGAGACTCGTTCTGACACACCAGAGAGTTTTGTATCTACATCTCTTAAATAAATGTCACTCTTCCTAATAGTTAACAGCTGCAGTTCTTCAACTGAACATTCTCCAATAGAGCTCTGCGTTTATTTCAAGCTGTTGTCATTTCTTGGTGTTAGCAGAGCATGTGCTCCTTTTACCCGGGAAAGGCAGTTGTGGAGATGGGTCTTGGCTTTGATGCTGTGCCCAAGTCGCAGCACCTAGCTGACAGCCATGATTTCTGTAGTGGTGGAGAGAGGCACTGGCATGAGTTGGTAGCGGGTGTCAAGACTTCCATGTTCTGATGGCTTGGAGTGACACTGGCTGAGCTCCTGAACCTTTATTGCTCCACTGTTCTCGCCATAAAAATGGGTGTAATGCCTGTGTGGTGGCCAGCTGACTTCGGTGGAAGCTTCTGAAGTGTTGTGGGGGCAGCCAAAGCCAGCCCCCAGCCCACAGAGCATGACGAGTCCTGACAGGAGTCCTGTCACAGCCTGGCAGTCACTTGTCCACAGCCAGCTTTCCTTTATCAGCTTGCTTGCTGCTTTCGCTCTTTTCCTGGTCTGTCCTTTCACCAGCAGAAATGTGGAAAAACCAGTTCTGTGGTTAGTTGCTGCACTTCCCTCCACGCCCATGGGGCAGGTCTCCTCCTCCTCAGTCCTCACGCACAGTCTGGGTGCACTTCAGCCTCCAGCCTCTTTGCCCCTGCCTGTGCTCAGCCGGCTCAGGTGCACGACAGGCCTCTCCGCCCTTTCCATTTACCTTAACCTTCCTCTTGTCCCTCTGGCTGCCACAGCTTGTCTCTCTGGTGGCTCCTTCTCGCCTGGATAACGCAGTGGGGTGGCCTGCAGGTGCATAAGGTGAAGGAGGCTGCCCTCCTGGCCCTGTCCTGTCCTGCCTGGAGGGATACCATTCCGAGGTGATGGCTGGAGGGAACGAGCGGAGCATGAAGGCCCTGAAGGAAGTGTGGAAAAGAGCAGAGAACTCTTTGTGTGCGGATTGCGGGAAGCCAGGTGAGTCCCCAAAGGATGCTGGAGGAAGGGTTGGAAGTAGGGAGCTGGGGCTGATCTCTAGCACTTGCTTAGTGCTGGCTATCTGCACTGCACAGGAGCTGGGGTGGAGAGAAAGGGGTCGCATCGCTCTGGGCATTCATTTCCTCTCCCTTGAGGTGGGTTGGCAAGGGAGGAGGGAGAAGACGCTGCCATAGCACTGGTGGGAAGGACAGGGACGTGGGAATGCCAGATTAGCAGGGGCTCCACAGCTGCAGCACCGTGGGTTGTAGTCATGTCAGATCTCAAATGCAAATCAAGGTCATGCCCAGTCAGGACCTGACAGGAAAGCTCGCAGTGAAATCCTGACTTCTCCAGAAAGAAGGCATGATTCAGGAGGGCATTGTCTCTGCCATGACTCAGCTCTGAACTGACAACCTGCCACAGTTGCCTAGGAAATTTCATTTACTGAAGGGCTTGCCCTCTCAGAAGGGTACCCAGTTTGAGGTCCTACAAGTGCTGCTAAAAACACCCATCTTACACCTCCAAAAGGAGTGTACTACCCAAGCCAAATTAAGACTGGGCAAATTAGTACAATTTTGCCCTATTAATTATTCCAGGAGAGTTTTAGATTCAAGGTTGTTTTCCACTTTGTGAGCTAAACACTGTTAGGGGTTTGCTGTGATGCACTAAACAACTCCTGGAGTCTTTTCCCAGAGGTGGTTTCATTTTTCTCTGGGTGATCCTTTACACAAAGGGAGTTCACAGGCCACTTTGGGGTTTTTCAAGATATAGGTCATTAAAAATTCATCAAAGTGATTGGAACAGGGAATGAGGGACCAATAGCTGTGGTTTTTCCTGACTGGCATCCATGCCTTGGGCATTAATTACTCAGCTCAGACGAAACTGTGGCCGTCAGCTCCCTGTTTCTCAGGACTACATTCTCAGGTGAAGCTGAGACATCTCCCAGGGATATTCACCGCTTCTAGTTATACCCTTTTCCATATTCTCAGATCCTGACTGGGCATCCTCAACTTTGGGTGTCTTTATATGCCTCAGCTGTTCAGGAATTCACCGCAACATCCCTAGCATCAGCAAAGTCAAATCCCTGAAGATGGACTACTGGGATGATGCTCAGGTGCAGGTGAGATCTTTATCCCCATGGGTAGGGCAGGTGGTTTGGACTAGGCTTTACACTCAGTGTCCTGGCAAAATTAGTCCTTTGACCTCACACAGTTGGAATGTAATCTGGTTTAATCAGTCTCTTTTCTACTCATGAAAATCAGGGATAACTCTCCAGAACCCACCGGGCCAGGGAGGATACACTTGCCTTGTGTGTCTCCTCATGCCCTGTTACTTTATGGCAAATGCAGAGCTCTTGCAATGTATCTTACCAAGGCTTAGGGTCTTTGTTGCTTCAGATTACTTGTTTTCCACTTTCCAAGACCATCCAGCCTCAATGTCTCCTTTTGATTTCATTAGTCCAAGGGGAAAATCTTGGGCAATTCCATTATCCAAGAAAAGTTTCCAGAGATAATACAATCTTTTGAGAAAAGTGGCACTTATGAGAACTTGACATCTCCCCGTTACAGCCCCCTCAACTCACTAATCTTCAGGGGACTGAAAATACTTTCTGGAGATCCAAAGAAAATAATCTGTGTCTTGTTGCTCTTTGGAAGAGGTTGGAATGTCCTTCTAGATGCCATTGCAGGGGTGTTGTGGAACCCTCCAGGAGATGTGGCACATGACAGCAAATCCACTGAACGTGTGCGCACCCAGCCTTACGGAAGTGACGTTTATGGCACTCTGTTGATTCAGGTGCAATCACTGTCATGTCTGAGAGTAGATGAGACCTTTGAGACCCACCTTCCTGCAGCCAGACTGCTTGGATGTTGCAATGGAGGGGAAGGAGAATGCTCCATTAGAGTTTGATATGCATTTGACCCTGTAGTGGGTCAGAAAGTAAAAGGTCCAGTATGAGTCTGTATCAAAGGCAAGGCACTAACTCTCTGTCTAACTCTGCAGTTTCTGGCCAAGCATGGGAATGCTGTGACTAAAGCCATATATGAAGCTCACATCCCTATTTACTATTACCAGCCAACCTACAATGACTGCCAGTAAGTTGCTGCATACAGAAGAAAAGGGGGAAGGGCAATTCTCTGTTCCTCTAATTCCTGTAGTTCATTTCTGAGCTACCTGTCCCCTCTCTCCACAGAGTGCTGAGAGAACAGTGGATACGGGCCAAATATGAACGTAAAGAATTCACTGAGCCGGGAAAACAGCTGCCATATTCTGATGGTAAGAGCAGAACACAGCATCAAAACATCCTTGCCTTTGCTGGACATTTCTGAGCATCATGAGATGTCAGTGTTGCAAATCCCACAAGTACTCCTGAGAACCCAAGTGGTACTTACAGGGCTTCATTTTGGGGTGTCAAATTGCGGACAACATAGGCTGGCACTGCCACAGGTAGCTTAAAAGCCAGATGTTACTAGGTGGCATTTTTCAAAGACATTTGTTGTCTTGGTGGAGACAGACATCTACAATAAGGAATATCTGTCCTGCTGCATGCCACACCCTCTAACCAGGGCAGTTGTCCTTGAAATGGCAGTGCCAGTCCTGTGACAAAGGGCAATGGAGCCCAAGAGTCAAGTGGGAAGAATTCTGGTCCCACACCAAAGTCTGCCAGGATTCTAGTGCTCACAGGGACAGCTCTTACACTGTCAGAGGTAGTTGTAGGAGCAGGACTAGGAAGTTGGAAGAATCTGGGAATGTCTTTTGGTGCACGCTTATCTGCACTGCAAACATGGGAACACACCATCTTTAGTTGTAAGTCAGAGGTGAAACATCTGAAGTGTTTACTCTCAGCCATAGTGCATCATGTTCTTTGTCCCAGAGGGGTGGTTGGGCCCCAGGCTGCATGTGGCTCCCTGGTGTCTACCATGCCTGTGGGGAATGCTATTATAAGTGGCTTTTCTGCTCCAAGGGGTGAAGGAAGGCATCCTTTGGAAGCGTGGTCGAGACAACGGACAGTTCCTACCCCGCAAGTTCCTCTTGTCTGAGAGAGAAGGATGTCTGAAGTATTTCACCAAGCAGGATGTGAGTATGGTGGTCAACTCCTACCTCAGTGTGTATTCCGCCCATAGCAGCGGGGTCACAGAGATGTTCTGACTTCCTACGCATGTTTCTGGGGTTGCCTTGTTCATCCCAGCTCAGAGATGATAACAAAACATGTCACTAAAGAGAAGGGTCCCCTTCCTACTGTCAGAGTGACTTTTCCTCATGCTCTTCCTTTGTGCTTCCCTCACTACTGAGAAAAGGACTGATCTTTCACTTCACTCCTATCCATTTGCCTGGATGTGTAATCCTGCACCATTCCTGGAACCAACCTCACCCCACTGTGATCCAAGTTGGCAAAGACCTTTTCTCTGATTGGTTTTGAGGAGGGCTACTTTCCTGCTCATTCATCTCTCTGAAATGAGAGGGGCAAAAGCTAAAATGCTGTCACAAGGGAGGGAATGGCTCAGGGTAGGGAGAAGCAGGACATGCCATCCAAAGAAACCTGGACAAGCTCCAGAAGTGGGCTGATATGAACCTCAGAAGGTTTAAAAAGGCCAAGTACAAGGTTCTCCTCCTGGGTCAGGCCTCTGACCCTGCCTTACCCCAGGTAATCAGTAGCTCAGATCTCTTTCCTCTAGGATTGCTCATGCATAGTCAATGCCATTCTGTTTTCAGGCCAAAGAACCCAAAATCAATGTTAAAATAGATGTAATCAATGCTACATTCCAACCAGAGAAGATTGGGAACCCCAATGGCCTGCAGATCACCTACCTCAAAGACAATAAGACCCGGAATATATTTGTCTACCATGAAAGTGGAAAGGTATCTGGTTTTAGCATCAAACACTGCAAAGCCATTGAGGTGCTTTGAGGAGCTGCTGATATTAAATAGTATGAAGCACGGGTAGGATGGGGTGTGTGAGTGTGAGCTGCTGTAGGTAATAGGTTGGGGGTTCTGGCTCTGTGTTTATGTATCTGTGAGAGAGTTTTGCTGCAGGGAGCAGGGCAGGAGCACTGGCTGAGGTGGTTTGTGTGGGAGGAGTTCTATAGAAGATGTGCTGTCTGTGCATGTGGGGAATGGGGCACCGTGCTGGCTGTGTGCATGTGAGGGAGATGCTGCGGAGGGAGAGCTGGCTGTGTCTGTAGTTAACACAGGGCTGGGTGGATTTAGATGCCCCTCTGTTGCTCTGGCTAAGCTTTCTGTCCTGTCCTGTTCCATCCTCAGGAGGTGGTGGACTGGTTCAATGCCATCCGCTCTGTGCAGTTCCATTACCTGAAGGTAGCATTTCCCATTGCCAGCGATAATGAGGTAAGGCAGCCCGGGAGTCTCCCGCTGCTAACATGATAAAAGAGCTCGTTAGTTACTGTTACAGCTCCAGGTACGGAAGTGGGAATTGCAGGGTAAAGACAGAAGGATGAGAAGGTGCTTTTAAAAGGGCTTGTGGTGGTCAGAAAATAGCTGCTCTCTGCTGGGCATTTTGGAGGCAGAAGTGATGCCTAGCTAGGCAGTTTGGGAAATGTAAATTTAGAAGGTGACTGAATTTGGGAGAATAGAAGGGTGGGGGAGGGAAATGAATAGCGAAGAGGCACAGCTAAGTGAATGTTACTCTTGCCATTTTGTCAGATTAAAAATCGTCTCACAAGAAACTTCTTGAAGGAGGGATACATGGAGAAGACTGGTCCCAAGGTGAGCCTGCTGTGGTAGAAAAAATCTAACAGGGCCCTGCCAGAGCACCACTGGCTTTCCCTACTTCAATGTTTTTCCTGCTGTTTCCTCATTCCCCCTGAATTTTTAGACACCCGTGGGAAGAGTGTGTGTGCACCAAGGGAGGGGAGAATGAAAGGAAGGGGAAGGACACATGTGAAAGTAGATGAAGCCAGAGTCCCTGCTTTCTCCCAGAGCGACAGATCTCTCTGCATGTGTCTGTGTGTGCGTGACCTTACAGGTATTTAGTGTCCAGATTTCTCCTGTCTCAACTCTGGGGTCCTTCAGCGAAGTTCGGGAGCTGGGGACAGCAGCTGGGAGTGAATCACCCGATACTGACCCCCACTCTCAGCTCAGAAAAGGCGAGGAGGAGGTTGCTGTTAAGGCAGGGGCTTGCTTCAAACGGTTGGGATGGGTTTGGGGTATCCATTCGCACTGCTCGCAGCAGAGGGCACTGTCCCCTCACACATGTCACCTCTTCCCTTCACAGCAGAGAGAGGCTTTCAAGAAGCGCTGGTTCACGCTGGATCACCGCAGGCTCATGTACTTCAAGGATCCTTTGGTGAGAGGGAGATGTGACCGCCGGCAGCTGCAGCAGCGGTGCTGAGGGCAGGGTCAAAGTGGGCACAGAGTCTGTGCTCTGCAGTAAGGGTGGCTTGCAGGTTTCCCAGCTGCTGTGAATGGACTCCAGGTCTTCCCCTTTCCATCCCTTTTAGTTTATCACATGCTTTCTGTGTTTGTTTCACTGCCTGCAAACAATGGGAACAGGGAGGGTAGCAGTGTAAAGGTGGTGATGGGAGGGTGACACAGGGAGATGAGCGCGGCAGTTTCTCTCTCAGACCTCTTGAGATTTATGCCCTTAATTTTTCCTTTTCACTACTGCCTTTTAGCACAGGCTCACTGCTCTTCTGAATCCCTTGACCAGCTCCAAAACCTTTTGCTGCTCCATCCCCGATCCTCACACACTCTCTTCCTGTCCTTAGGTGCCCTGTAAGGATTCTCTTGTTCTGGGATTCCATAAATCACTATCTTTCCCTTCTGATGTGCAGGACGCATTTGCTAAGGGTGAGGTATTTGTGGGCAGTGGAGAGAATGGATATAGTGTCCAGAAGGGATTGCCTTCAGGGACACAGGGCAACTTCTCTTGGCACTACGGCATCACCATTGTCACCCCTGACCGGGAATACCTCTTCACCTGCGAGACAGAGACTGACCAGCTGGAGTGGATCAGAGCCTTCACTAGTGTCATCAACCAGGCCATGACACCACAGGAATATGCAAGTAAGTGCCTGGATGCTGTTTCCTTCCCCTCCTGCCACTCCCATTCAGGGCATTGCTCTAATGCACCACCTTTTCTTTTCACTACAGTTGAAGCCTACTTCAAGTTTAAATCCTAGGAAGCCATGCAGGAATCTCACTATGACTGAACTCTACCTGGTCCTATTGGGTGGCTGTCAGGACAGGAGAGGAGATTGACATCAGAGAAACACAGTGCTCTTGGAGCACCCTTTGAAGCACTTTTGCCCTCATAGAGTATCCACTTTGTTTTGAGGGCCCAATTAAGCTGCTTCTTTTCGAGTGCGAGATTTTGTGCATCTGAATCCTCAGTACAACCTGTCCCTGTTAAATTGCTGTCATCTGACTGGATGCTGACAGGTCTTGCCTGTCAGCTGGGCCTTGGAAACTTTGGCACTTACTATGTTGGACGTGAGACCCTCCATGAAACCACAGCCACCCACCTGACACAAGACAAGAGCTGCCTGGCTGGAGCCAGGCACCACAGCGGGTTACAGGGGCTGCTGGACTAAAAGAGCCTGTTCCTTTACAAGAAATATCATACCTGCTGACGACAGAGATGTGAAACTTCTAGATATTTGATCAGCTAGTGCAGTGGTTGAGAAAGGTCACTTAAAAGATGTAACCTAACAACCAAATGTGAGGCTTGTTTCCTTCTGCCATGTATGGGCTTGAAAGCTTCTTCAGATGACATTTGTTTGCAGACCTTCCTCCAAATACTTCAGAGACGATTAAGAGATCATCTCAAAAATAATGTGGATATACATTTGGGTATGTGGATAATGTGTGTGCACACACATAACAAAAAGTGATGGAGGCAGAATACTGCCCTAGGGAAGATACTGTGAGGGATCTTCATGCCAGCTGCCAAACTCGAGTCTCTATCAGACCAATGGAGAGGGGTTGGGTCTTGCAAAGAGAAGCTGATAATGTGTGTAGAGTTCAGAGTCTGCTGTCTGTACTAGAGCCTAGGGTTGATGCTGAATATAGTAATACATGGATCTCTGCTCCCTCATTCCCTGTATGTCAAAGACCTGGCACTTTCATTCTGCCCTGCACATTGCATATATTTATCTTGTCCATCACACATACATGTCTGTATGTTCATGTTCTATTGGTAACAGTTAGCCTAAAACACTAAATCAACCCGTGATTCGTGTCTTAAAGCTCATCTCTCAAAGCTCTCTTGGGAGAGATGTGCTTCACATGCTGGAAGGAGTAGCTGAGTTCTGCTGGTGACTGTAGTATCTGATGTGTTTGCAGTTTTATGCAGGCAGTGTGAGAGAAGGTATCTCATGTGTTAAGGGGAGCTAGCTGGAATTAATGAAACAGCCAGTATTTTAATTAGCTCCTAAAGAAATAATTTAAAAATACCATTGTAATTTATTTTAACTTCCTAAATTAGCTGACATGTTAACTGCTGAGGTATGAGGTGGTTTCTTAGAAAAAAGTACAGATGATCAAACAAACAGCCATAGCCGTTCATTGTATTTCCTGGGGCATGTGGACTGTGATTATTCCCATCAGAGCCAAATGGGCAGATTCACAGCACCCCTCTGCTCCTCTGGGGACCCCACTCTGTGCCATGACCACCACAATCTGTTGGGAGCATCAACTTTCTGGATGAGTAGAAGCATTACTCACCCTGCCACCATGATGCAATGGAAATATCCACCTAAAAGTATATTTTCACTGCATTTTGCTGATCTCTCCTAGTTTGGAGCATGATTTTCCTGAAAACCAAAGGTCATTGCACAGTGTGGGGAGTACTGATGGGATGCCTCCTCCTCCTCCCGTTTGCTGTTGAATTACCACTGCTGGATATGAGCAGAGGCATTTGACTCAGCCGCAATGAAGCTCATACACTGATGATGCAAAAGAGTGTGGCTGGAGCAGCCTGAAACCCTGAACAGAGTGCCTGTAGTGTGGCACAGCTGTGTCTGCTCCGCAAATCCTGTCCCACCGTGTCTTCCTGGAGACAGCGAGGGAAGGGCCGGGAGCATCGGGCGCGGCTGTCGTGCCATGGTGGCTCGCTAGAAGGCGGTGGTGCCTCTGCAATGGCTTCTGCTCCCCGCTCTGAGGCCAGGCAGCTGCCCGGGGCTTCGAGGGAAGGAGGGGGAAAGCTTAGAGGAGGAGGAGGATGGTCTTTGTGGAGAGGAAGGAAAAACCGAGTTTAAAATATCCAGTCCTTTGAGTCTCTGGGAGCTTGCTGCTGACTTGAGGGCAAAGGTGGAAAAGGGCCAGGACAGAAAACTTGAAAGGTGCTACCATCTGGTGGGCCTGCTCGCAAACTGGGGACTACATCCAAACCTCAAAGGGCCCTGAAGTCCTTGGGAGGGAGCAGGGGACAGGTTCTTTCAGTCTGGCTTGGCTGGGGAGAGCTGTGTGGTTGCTCCCTGCCTATTGCACTTCCAGGGCTGGCCCTTGTTTCCCTTCTAAAGCCACAGCATGATGCTTTCCCTCCCTGCCATATTGTGGAGTCTTGTCTTTCAGTTGTCTCCTGTCTCAAACGAGGACATCTGTAAAAGGAGAAATGGGAAAAAGAAAGGGAAACAAGAACAAGGAGGAAGACAGAGCAGGATAAAGATGTGGGGGAAGAAAGCATGTCTGCCAGAAAGAGGAGGGAGCCAGGGGGGCTCCTCAGCTAGTGGCCCAGTATAAATTTGGAACTGTATTCACACCGGTGTGTGAAGCTGTGAGCCAGGCACATTCCTCCATAGGGGGGCTCCTCAGCCAGTGGCCCAGTATAAATTTGGAACTATTCACACTGGTGTGTGAAGCTGTGAGCCAGGCACATTCCTCCATGCAGTGGTCAAGGCAGCTCTCGGGGGTTGGTTCAGCGGGGCCTGGCCCACCTCTCCAAAGTCTGTCTGAGCTGAGCTGACAGACTTGGGAGCAGAAATCTACTTGTTCATCTACTGTTTCTTTGGGCCCAGCAAACTCTGGAGAAGCAACAAGGCTAGCGAAGAAAAGAGACATTTCCTCCGGGCTGGCAGAGGTTACCTTGCATGTATTGGTCTTGAAGGAAAAGGCAGTGTCCCTTTCTTGGCTCTTTCATGGTTAAGGAAAACAACCGGGCAGAGCTTGTGATGGACAACATCAGCAAAATGGACTGGACAGTTGGAGGTGAGGAACAGACTGCTCTGGAGCACCCTGTCTATGTCTGATGAACTCTCCCCATTCTTCCCTTGGCTGTTTTGCTGTTAAGGATAGACGTGTCCCTTACAGCGAGGGCGGAAGGCAGGAGGAAGGAACAGGTCTCTGACAGCTTGATTTGCTCTTGCTTAACTTACCCAAAGATGTCTTACAACACTTCTCTCATCAGCCCAAGTCCTAGAGAGGATCCCAAGGGTGGCAGTTTCTTGGAGGAAAGCAATGGTGGGGGTGATGACAGCAATGTCCTGGGAGGGGACAGCCTGGTCACAGGGCCGCTGGGCGCAGTGCTGCTGGTCATGTGCCTCACTGGGATGGTGGGGAACATCTACACAGTGGCAGTGGCCTCTGGCAGGGTGGCAGGCTGCTCAGCAGGCCCCTTGGGGGTCTACATGATCAACCTTGCCCTGGCTGACCTCCTGTACCTTTCCACCATCCCCTTTGTGGTTTGCACCTACTTTGCCCACGACTGGTTCTTTGGGGATGTGGGTTGCAGGCTTTTGCTCAGCCTGGACCTCCTCACCATGCATGCCAGCATCTTCCTCCTGACTGCCATGAGCCTGGAGAGGTACTGGGCGGTGGCCAAGCCTCTGCGGGCCCGGCGGGCCGGCAACGCCTGCCGCAGACTGGCCAGCGCCATCCTCTGGCTCCTCTCGCTCCTGCTCACGGCCCCCATGATGGCGATGACTCAGCTGCGGCAGGGGGATGGCCCCCAAAAGCGCATCTGCGTCCCCACCTGGACGCCATCGGCTTTCCGGCTCTACCTGACGGTGCTGTTCACCACCAGCGTCCTGGCACCCGGCGCCGTGCTGGGCATCGTCTACACCCGCCTGGCCCGGGCGTACCAGTCCTCGGCCTGGCGCCGGGGGCTGCCGGTGGCCGGCCGGGCCCCTGCGCGGCGGCTCCTCTCCAGGATCTCCGCCATCGTGGTGGCCTACTGGGCCTGCTTCCTCCCCTTCTGGGCCTGGCAGCTGGCCGGGCTGTACCAGGGAGAGGGGCTGGGCATCGGCCCCACTGCCCAGGCCTACCTTAACTTCGGTGTCACCTGCCTGGCCTACGGCAACAGCTGTGTCAACCCCTTCCTGTACACCCTGCTTGCCAGCAGCTACCGCCGGCGCCGTGGCCGCGCTGGGACGGGCGAGGCACGGCCTGCAGCACCCTCTCGGCAGGCTGCGGGAAGGCACAGCATCCCCCCGGCTTTCGGGGAGTTCTCGGGGTCTGTGAGGGAAAGTGGGCAGTGAGCAAGCTGGGGACATCCGACCTTCAGCTGGGGTCATCTTGAGAAATAAAAGTGTGTCACCTTCTGTGCCAGCATGCGGTGTTTTCCATCAATGCTGTTGCAGTGCTTTCCCCTTTGCGTGGCTGCTCATCCTGCTCAGCTGGGCAGGCAGAGTGCTTGTCTCAGGGATCCTGACTCCGTCCTTAGATCCTTCAGCTCTCACACACCAGCCTCCACCTTGCACAAGGCTGGGGAGTGGGTGGAAGGGAGCAGTCAGCTTCGATATGTCTAAATTATACATCTGGGGAACCTTTGCCACCCCTCATCTCCTTGCTAGCAACGGGGCCAAGCCATAACAAAGTCAGGACAACAGTGAGTCATAGATTTCACAAGAACAGTGAGTCACTGCAAGAAACAGCCACGCTAGCAGGAGACCTCACTAAGGTTCATATTCCTGTGGTAAAGCTACTGAGCTCTCTTCAAGAAACCATCACAGAAAAATCTTAGAAGAATCTAAAGAAAGATTGCTAAGTGCAATTAAGAGGCATTGTGAGATTCCCTAGCCCAGGCAGTCCAGTACATTTGCTCAGCTTTCAAGATCAGCCCAGCAGAGGAAGCTGCAAGGAGAGAGCTCTCCTCTATGTCCATCATGACAGTTCATGGCACCCTCACCAGCACCTCGGCCCTGCTGTGGTTGAGGGAAATACCCAATTCTCTGGCCTACCAAATGTACCTCAGTCTGCCAGACTGTGTCTACACCACTGTGCAAACTGAGCCAGGTCTCCTGCCTTGAGACCATCTCCCTGATTCATTTCCATACGCTGAACCTCTCTTCTCCAGGAAGGATGGCTTCATCCTTATCAGGCCATGGGCAGAGTCCCCAAGCTATGCTGTCCCCTGCCATGCCAATGTGCAGGGTGGCAATGCTAGATGTCATGTTTACAATTGAAGGTGTAGCCCTAAAAAGAGTGTGATGTGATCATCCAAAGCAGCAACACAAGACTTCAAGAGAGATCCAGCTGCAGAGCCTCAGGTTGCTTGTACACCCCAAGTGCCCCTACCTTTCTGCTAAGCTCACTCTCATCTTATCCCTCTTCCTCCTCAAACTCACAATTCCTAGCAGCCCAGCCTCTCGCTGCATGGGTACGCAGGACCTGGCAGAGCCTCATGAATTATGAAATAACAGTGACAGGTACAGCTGCTTCAGGGAAAGTCCCTGCTCTCCAGCTGCTCTGGAGACTGCTTAATGTGAGGAATTAGCCCAGGCAGGCCTGCAGGGAATGCTGTAGTACATCAAATTGTTAGTGCTTTGTGTTGCTTGTGGCCAAGCCTTTCATCCCAGACCGACCAGGTAACTGCTGTGCACTGTGGATGGGGCAGAGCCCACCTTTCCTCCACCCACCAGGCACAGCATGCTCAGCAGCAGCACCAGGGCAGCATCAGACTGAGAGAGACCCTGAGGCAGCTATGCAGCAACATCAAACATGCCTGACTGCCCCAGACTCCCAGAGTGAAATAAATGGGCAGGAGATCTTTCTCCTTTTTAATGCCTTTATTAAGAAGAATCAGCTCAGGTGGGGAGAAACCGACCCGCCGCTGCTCCCAGGCATGGCACGGAGGAGGAGGAGGGTGATGCAGCTGTGTCCGCTGGTCTGCAGGCAGAGCTGGGGATTCCGTCCTCACGGGAGATTAGCAGATTCCTGCTTTTTTGTCTAACACCCCGGGGCGTCTCTTTAATCAACATCTTTTCAGGTTAGGGTGAAAAGAAAAAAGGGTCCAAGCAGGTACGGGACTACGCTCCCATCCTTAGACGTCGCTTAGGTCACTTGTTGGCTCGTAATTTTAGGGGTTTTCCTGGGAAAACTGTAAAAATTCGTGGCACAATGCATTTCTCATCTGCATACTGGCTCTGATGTCACTCCTGTCCTTCTGGTACTTGGGAGGATGCCGGTGTCCCTCCCTGGCAAGCGGCCAGAATCAGGGGGACAATGGTTAATCACCAGCCATTAACAGGTAATTGAAGAACTCCTCTTTTAACAGTGAAACTAACTTACGGCAACTGGTCTGACTCGTTTTTAACTCTGTAACCTAAAAAAAAATAGATAACTTTCTATTCATAACACAGAGTGTAGCCTCAGTTTAGACTGAGAAGTGCTCGGGTTCATGTGGGCCAAGTAAAAAGGGAACAAAAGCATAGAGCACACATCCTTAGCATGTCACACTTCAGCTGGACATGGCTGCTTCCCTCAGCTCTGGATGGAACAGGCGAAGCACAAGGGGCAGAATGCAACCAGACACCTCCACATTACTGCCTTCCTGTGCCACAGCACAACACTTTGTGCTCCTGCAGTTACTGAAGAAAGGATTTGGATGAGGAACTCTCTACATGCTCTGCCACACCCAGCAAGGCAGCTTTTCTACTGTCTCCATGCAGCAGTAAGAGGTCCCAAGCACACATAGGAGTAGGAACAGCCTCTACAGAAGGCTGCAGCCAAAACTAGCACAGTGGAGGACTTTCCCCTCACTCCATGCCCCACTAGGCTCAGCTAGCACAGCCACTCAATGCTGTCTTGATGTCAGCCAGGAGTGCTTAGTTTAGGTAGAGTTAATTATTCAGGCAGTGTAAGGTGTCAGCTTAGACCTCAACAGCTTGTGACCTCACTTAAAGGATGCTTTTACTCTCCCCTGAGTGACAATTAGCCCCAATGCCTCCTGCTGCAACTCTCCTTGGACTTTAACCTTCTGTGTTCCCAGGCTTTTAACCTTCATCCTCTTCTCCATCCATGACTTTCAAGGACCAAGGCTGGGACAATTGCATCACTTTATGGTACTCAAGCAACTCTGGCTACCCCTCCCCACCCACTCCCAGCAAGGTGCCCAACCCACGAGGACTAGCAATATTAAACAGATTAGATTTTGAGACTTAGTACACCAAAACTCTTATTTATTGATTGTTTTTTCTGTATCTTTGAGATGGAGGTGTCAGAGGAAGTTATTCCCAGCTGAGGGACTGGAGTGTGAAGTCCCCTTGTGTATCAAAGTAGTCAAAGACAGAGAGGTTAAGCCGGTTAGGGAACGTGAACTGGTGGCCTGGCAGGTGGACTGTCACATCATTTTGGTTGACACTAAAAGTGATCTGCAAGGCAAATGGAAAAGTTAGAGAAAGTTTCCTTGAGCCTCTGCAGCACTGCTGTGCCACTCTCTGCTTCACAGAGTGAACAAGCTCAGGAGAATAACCTGTTCATCAACAGCAGGAGTGTTTTTCTGGTCTCCCAAGAGATGCCCATTCTCTGCTCTGTTCAATAGCAACATCTTTGAGCCAGATGGAGCTTAAACATTTATCCCCACCCTCCATCAGAGCTCAGAGCCCTGAGTGGTGGCACTGGCCAAGCAGGAGAAGCCAGCCACCTACTGAACAGACAGCCCTGAGACAGCCCTTGCAGCTGGGTGTCCTGTGCCAAACCCTCCCTTCACCAGAGCATGTACAGAGAGTGTGTATATATATAAATATATGCATGCCTCACCTCTGCTGTGCCCCCCTTCTGGAAAGGAAAGACAGCCTCCCTGTGCTCTGCACCCCACTCTTCCACCTTCTTGGAGTTGCACACGATGGTGTTCACATCGCCATGAGCATCGAAACGGGGATTGAAGTGAAGTCCGAGGAGGGTAGCATCCTTGCCCAGATTCATCACAAAGCTGCAGAGAAAAAAAAAGCAGGCATCAATACAACTAAAAAAAAAAAAATCAATACTATGGTAGCATGTTTCTCATTACCATGAGCATCCCTGGGTCTGTTTCTTCAAGCCCAGCTGAGGGTAACCTAAGAGAAACCCTTTGCTAAAGGGTTTTTGCTAAAGGGTTACACAGCTTCTTTAAAAAGATGGTGTTGTGGCAGTAAGGGGCACTTTTCTGTGGTGATAGGCTCCAGAGTGCCATCCCAGGGAGAGACACCACTTCCTCAAAGCTTTTAACAAGAGAATGGTTCATACACAGGGCCCTGAACAGAGTTATACACCCAAACCAATTCCCAAGGAGTCAGTTGCTTTCCATAGATTTCCTCAGTCCTGAACAGTTAGCTAGTGCTGCATCCTGCCTGACAGCCACTGCCTTCTCCCCATCCTGCAGGCAGCTGAAATAATTACCATGTCATTAGCTATCCCAAAGTATCTGCAACAGCAGTGGGAGGAAGTTTCCTAGCCTAGTGTCCACCTTGCCTTCAGGCCTCTCACGCAATGAGAAGAGGCATATTATTTGGCAAGAGAAAGCCTGGGAGGCTTCACTCAGACAGTATCAAACTTCAAAGGCACTGGGAAGAGCTGGGACATGTTTCCTGGAACACCGCTAGTTCTGGTGCAGCAGCTACAGGCCCCACCTTACCTGCAAAGGGCCCCCCTGCACAGCGGCTGGGGGCTGCTGCAGAGGCTTCCTGAGCCACCCCAATCCCTGCACATTTAGGGCTACATTTCCACTTCAGCCCACCTGCCTGCTCTCCACCTTTCTTTTTTCCCCACCACCACGTGAGAGCACCAAATCCACTGGGGCACCATAAATGTCCTTACTCCTGGCCACCTTCGTGCAGGGGAGAGGATGTGGTGGAGCAGATGGTCTCAAACCAAATTTCAGTATAGACACAGCTTCCATTTCCTTTACCCCTCACTAGAAGGATGTGGTCACTGCCAGCGTGTGCAGTTGGAACTTCACATCTGCTTTGGCTTAGCCCCTTGGCAGTACTGTCTGCAATGTGCATTAGGTGATGACTCACTGGAAGCACTGCTGCTCTTAACCCCTTCTCCTCTTCTACCAAGAGACAGAGTCCTTTTGCCACCACCTTTTGCAGACCCCTCAGAGTGGTGCCCTGGCAGTGCCCGGGCAGCACAGCACAACTCACCTCTTGGCATTTGGTGCAATTTTCCCCTTGACAGTGAGGCGCTGGCCAGGCTTGAGACCCAAGTTGGTGCACACTGGTCCCTGGGGAACAGGGAAGCAGAGACATTGGCTCAGTACCTGCTGGATCACTTGTTC